TTTTCTGTGTCGCCCTGCGCCGGGCACAGTTTTCTGTGGTGCGAGGCTACCGCTAGGAAGCTACCTCATCCCTTTGTGTGTATTTTACCTCGATACACTTATTTCAATTTCAATTTCAAGTTCAACCTGTCCTCTTACAAACAACGTCGCATTTCGATCCTACGCGTTACATGAGGCCAAAAATTATCGTACTAGAAAATGGAAGCGGCTCGCGAAAGTGGCGTACGGTCCCGTTTTCTGTTTTGGGTCCTCTGGTAGATTAGGAGTGGACACTATAGACCGTTTTCTTGACGTTGGGAAACCTTAGGATGTTGTTGTTTAAGATTCAGCTACTGGGAACAAAACGTTCCAAGTAGCACGGGCTATGGTGAGCCCGTAGTGGACTTACCTGGCACAGGAGTGGTGCTGCGGGGCTAAAACCTTAGGAGGACAGGCTTAACAATTACCAAGGTGGTTGTGCATTCGGCTCCCTACCGAAACACAGCAGCCCGTCCTCATAAACAAAGACCCAAAGTCCATTCCATGCACCCGCCAAACCCCAGCTGTTTATGAATGAAAAACGGTTTACACACGACTCACAACTGATGACGTTCGAACACTTCCGGAACAAGTGGTTCACTAACGACCTCTATTCGAACCACAACGCTGTAAATGCTCAGCCCGTCCTCCAAACAAAGATCCAAAAGTGATTCCATGCACCCGCCAAACCCCCTGTTTATGAATGAAAAGCGGTTTACACACGACTCACAACTGCTGACGTTCGAACATATCCGGAACAAGTGCTTCATTGACGAATTTTGTTCGAATCACAACGCTATAAATGCTTCACCCACGTACTACAAATTACAAATAAGCGCCAACAGAACCTAAACACCTAACCTAACCTAACCTATATATACACAATATGCTAATATATTATAATATTAATTTATTTTTGAGAAAACTCCCGTTTTGAATGAACAGCATGTTAAAATTTATGAATGCGTCTGTGGGGGTCGACCACTGGATGGAATGACTTGAGTCAAGGACGGGTTGTCCCTCTACTCCCAGTATCCGTCGATCCCCCTCCCCTCCCTTTCCCCTCATCATTCACTTGCCTCTCTCTCATATTCCTCTTGTTCTCCTCCCCTTCATCTTACATCTTCACTATATACGTTCTTCACTCTATATACTACTTTCATCATCGTAACCATCTTCCCCTACTCACTATCTTCACCATAACCGTCTTCCTCACTATCTCCATCACTGTAACCTGAATGAATTCATAATTTTCAGTAGCTCATAAATATTCATAGATAAATGGCGGAAATAACTTGAGCAATCTGTGTAAAACATATCCACAATTTCAGTTTGGACTTCATGAAAATGGCGGGTGTTGGGTTAAATGCCTATATTGTTATTAGAGTGAAAAGCTGGAGCTGACCCAGACTAGCCTATATCCTTCTCATACACCAGACCATTCCCCCTGCAAAGCTGTGTGAGGCTAGCTCCAAGCATTTGGCCTTTAACTTTGGACAAAAAGAGACATTTTTAATAGATATAGAATGTTTGTCCAAGGACGGAGGCCTAACACTTTGGTGCTACCCTAACACAAGTTTGCAGGAGAATGGTCTGAGGTACAGGAAGATCATAGTCCAGTACGGGCCAGCCTAAGTTAAACACTTTAAGATATATTAACATTTATGGAGATTTTCTGATAATGGGATAGAAGGAAAAGTGAGAGGAGAAAGCCAAGGAGGGAATAGGGGGAGATGGGGGTAATGATGCATGTTGGGTACTATAGTGTCATAGGCCAGTCAGGGTCGGCCCAAGTGAATCATTTTAAGAAATATTGACATTTATATAGACCCCCCATGCGATTTTCATGGAGACAAGTCTGAAATATTGGTAGTGTTTTGCATAGAGTTTTCCGTATTTTCAGTATATGTAGAAACTTCAATGCTTCGTTATATATTTTTTCTGAGAGAAAGAGATGGGCGAAAGGGAAGAAGAGGGGAATCACCTTATACACAACCGTCCACATATTAACCCACGGCTACATGTATACATATACAGTACAACAAGTCACACATGTACTACTCTCTGTACTGATAGACAGTACAATCAGGCCGGGACGGATATGCTGGCGTGCGCGCACTCGCACGTACGCGCCTCTTCAAAAATCACACATCCTGTCATAGTGTACACTTAAAAAATGCTGTAATTAATCTATAGGTTTTGCACCAGGATTTTCAATTCAGACGACACTATCTCTCTCTCTCTCTCTCTCTCTCTCTCTCTCTCTCTCTCTCTCTCTCTCTCTCTCTCTCTCTCTCTCTCTCTATATATATATATATATATATATATATATATATATATATATATATATATATTTATCATCACTGATGTCTGCGTGAAAGGTAGGCTTTTAATACCAAGGTTTAAGTTGGTATATGGTGATGATTATGGTGTGATGGTGGTGGCGGTGGGTTGTGGGTTGTGATGGTGGTGGAGGGTTGTGTTGGTGGTGGAGGGTTGTGGTTGTGGGTTGTGGTGGTGGTGGTGGGTTGGGATGGTGGTGGAGAGTTGTGGTGGTGGTGGAGGGTTGTGGTGGTGGTGGTGGGTTGGGATGGTGGTGGAGGGTTGTGGTGGTGGTGGAGGGTTGTGGTGGTGGGTTGTGATGGTGGTGGTGGTGGAGGGTTGTGGTGGTGGTGGAGGGTTGTGATGGTGGTGGTGGGTTGTGGTGGTGGTGGTGGATTGGGATGGTGGTGGAGGGTTGTGGTGGTGGGTTGTGATGGTGGTGGTGGGTTGTGGTGGTGGTGGAGGGTTGTGGTGGTGGGTTGTGATGGTGGTGGTGGGTTGTGGTGGTGGGTTGTGATGGTGGTGTTTTTTTTTATTATTATTATTTTAATGGTGGTGGTGGTGGAGGGTTGTGATGATGGTGGAGGGGTTGTGATGGTGGTGGAGGGTTGTGATGGTGGTGGAGGGTTGTGAAGATGGTGGAGGGTTGTGGTGGAGGGTTGTGAAGATGGTGGAGGGTTGTGATGGTGGTCGAGAGTTGTGATGATGGTGGAGGGGTTGTGATGGTGGTGGAGGGTTTGTGATGGTTGTGGAGGGTTGTGATGGTGGTGGAGGGTTTGTGATGGTTGTGGAGGGTTGTGAAGATGGAGGGTTGTGATGGTGGTGGAGGGTTGTGATGATGGTGGAGGGTTTGTGATGGTTGTGGAGGGTTGTGATGGTGGTGGAGGGTTTGTGATGGTTGTGATGGTGGTGGAGGGTTGTGAAGATGGTGGAGGGTTGTGATGGTGGTGGAGGGGTTGTGATGGTGGTGGAGGGTTTGTGATGGTGGTGGAGGGTTGTGATGGTGGTGGAGGGTTGTGATGGTGGTGGAGGGTTGTGAAGATGGTGGAGGGTTTGTGATGGTGGTGGAGGGTTGTGATGGTGGAGGGTTGTGATGGTGGTGGAGGGTTGTGATGGTGGTGGAGGGTTGTGATGGTGGTGGAGGGTTGTGATGGTGGTGGAGGGGTTGTGATGGTGGTGGAGGGTTGTGATGGTTGTGGAGGGTTGTGATGGTGGTGGAGGGTTGTGATGGTGGTGGAGGGTTGTGATGGTGGTGGAGGGTTGTGATGGTGGTGGAGGGTTGTGATGGTGGTGGAGGGTTGTGATGGTGGTGGAGGGGTTGTGATGGTGGTGGAGGGTTGTGATGGTGGTGGAGGGTTGTGATGGTGGTGGAGGGTTGTGAAGATGGTGGAGGGTTGTGATGGTGGTGGAGGGTTGTGATGGTGGTGGAGGGTTGTGAAGATGGTGGAGGGTTGTGATGGTGGTGGAGGGTTGTGATGGTGGTGGAGGGTGGTGATGGAGGGTTGTGATGGTGGTGGAGAGTTGTGATGATGGTGGAGGGGTTGTGATGGTGGTGGAGAGTTGTGATGATGGTGGAGGGGTTGTGATGGTTGTGGTGGTGGTGGAGGGTTGTGATGGTGGTGGAGGGTTGTGAAGATGGTGGAGGGTTGTGAAGATGGTGGAGGGTTGTGATGGTGGTGGAGGGTGGTGATGGTGGAGGGCTGTGATGATGGAAGGTGATGGTGGTAGTGGAGGGTTGTGATGATGGAGGGTGGTGGTAGTGGTGGAGGATGGTGGTGATAGTGGTGGATGATGATGGTGGTGTAGGGGGGGACGGGACAGGAGTGTGGGGGACAGGAGCTATGTGTGTCTCAGTAACGTTGTGGGAGGCACATACACACACACACACAGGCTGCTCTACACCGCTCCAAATACAAGTGTTTTCAATGTTTATTTTCCCCCTTCTTGTGTTATCATTCCCCGCAACAGCCTTCCTCAACGCTCGCCAACAGCAGCGTTAAGTATGAGAGCTTGAGACGCGGCTCTGACCATTATGCAGACGAGATAAATGTTTAAAAAAAAAGGGGCTAACAAGAGGAGGAAGAGGAGCGAGCGTGCACCCCCACCGACGACCACCGGGCAACTGGCACGGTAAAGAGGAGAGAGAAAAGGGAAGGTTGAAATAGGGGTCTTGCAGGTACAGTCATGTGCCTACCCGACGTTTTTCACCCAATTTCTCCCTTAATACCTCCCAAACCCCGCTCGCAACACACCAACAATATCCAACAGGCTTTAATGGTGAATAAAACGTTAGTATTGCCCGTAGAGGAAAGGCAGGAATGGAGAGGATAATGAAATAGTGTTTTATGATCCCTGTAGTCTAAGGGAGGGTTAAGGGGGGGGGGAGCCGCGCGACGCCTCACTCCAGCCAACTGTGTATTCCGCCGCGCCATGGCTGCGCGGCTGTTGTGAGGGCTGTGCTGGCTCCTGTGTCGCCGATACACCCGCTTTTCTCCCGGATCTCGTACGATTATGCCGTCACAATGACCACCGAGAGACCCGTGACATCCCGGTTGTTTACCACGTCGGTCATCGAAGGCCGCATCGATCTGGACGAGGTAATAGTGGTGTAAAAGAGATAGGTGGTGGCGGGTGGCCCGGGAGGCAGCACACATGATCATGGCGCACTCGGGGGGCCCGCCTCGCCAAACAGCTGATCGTGTCAACACTGACCTCCTCTGGCCTCCTGCCACTCCTCTCTGGCCTCTCAGGCCTCTCACACCCATATTTAAACTCCTGCTGCACCTCCCAGCACCTGTGGTGACAGTGGCACAGCTGTAATACGTGTGGTTCGACTCGTGTGGTTATGAGATAAGGCAACGCTCACTTAAGCGGTGAATTTAAGTGGTTTTGGATTATTTTTTTTTCCGTCTGGGTTCTGGTGATTTGGATTGTGATGGATTGTGTTGAAAATGGGTTGAGGGGGTGGAAGGCCCCCCCTAATAAACCCCCTCCTCCTTGCCTACCCCCTAGTATGGGGGGGGGGGAGGTCCGCGTGCAAGATGCAATTGCTTACAGCGGGCTATGAATAAGTTATGATGGTAAATGTGCCTTATACACGCCGGCCACAGTGAGGCCCACACAGGCCTGCCAGTGGTGGTATCCGGCCGCTACACTGCCACTGGTAATCCATCTTGGCGTGGATTAATAATCCCTCTACATGTGGATTAATAATCCCTCTACATGTTGCTTGGAGGCTGGTGGCCCCGGAGGCCTACTGCCTCTCATCCCTCGGGGGCTCCCTTGATTGCATGTTGAAGTATTTGCAATACGTGCAAGATTGTGGTAAATGATGGGTTTGGAAATGTCGTGCGTGGCACTTACTACTGGGTACTTGATTAAGGTAATGTGTGTGGGTGCTATGCTGTACTTGTCGACTTAATTCACATAGGCCTACGGTTGTAAAATAGTTTGGACGTGTGGTGAATCGAAGACTTATGATTTTAAGGTTTCAGTATTGGATCTGGCATTGAAAATTAATATTGCCAAAGGCTATGCAGTATTGTTTCGGATTTCTTTTTGGTTTATAACTTGTAAATAGTTTACTTAACTACTAGTATATCATAAGGATTATACATAAGATTGTTACAAGGCATAGAGCACCACTTTTGTTTTGGGATACAATGTTTTTATAAAACATTGGATGCAATGTTTTTACAAAACATTGCATCCAAACATTGTATTTTGTAAATTTAATTATAAATAACCTTGGTCAAATGAAATTGGAAGTTGTACAGTACTATTTAGAGTACAGTTAACCACTTTCCAGTCAGACATGTAGCGTAGGCACCGGGAGATAACATTGTTTATCACTCTGCTAGTGTTAAGGAAATATTTGATTCAATTACTGCTCATGATAGTACTGTATGTAAATACAACATGAACATTTGTTGTTTTGCATTTGATTTTTGTTGGGGATAATTATTGTTACAAATTAGCAGTGTAGACATTAGCTAGTCTGCGTGTAATTGGAATGTGGCTAATGGCATTGTACTATTATGGGTGTTAGTTTTATACCCAAGACTAATCGCTTCATACATGAAGGATATTATACTGAGCACACGACACAATTTACGTACAGCGTATTATAGTGCGGTTTTACAAAATATACCATGTGAAATATTGTATACTCCGTGGAGGAAAGTGTGTGATGCTTATTTTTATCTTATTGGCATTAGTATATGGCAATTGGTAAGCATTATTATATTGGATAGGAGAAAATATGCTGAACATAAGAGGAAGTCACCCAAATGTCACCCATGTTTTAAGGAGCCTCACCAGTATAAGTGTAGTATGTTTATAATTTAACAAAAATCATGAATGGCAACTGGAATTGAATAATTTTTTTTGTTTAAGTTTAAATCTTTTGTAATGTTCATCTACGCTATAATCTGGTATAAGCAGGCAGCCGTTTGCATTTTCTTGTGTACGAGTGTGTAGAGATGATTCAATGAATGTGCGTGTGTGTGTTCTAAATGTGTTAAGGTGCTAGTGTAAGCAGTATATACCTGGACCCTTAATGTGTTGACAGCTTGTAGCTGCTGAGTCCTTGGTTAATAAATGTGATGACTTCATGTTTATGTTTCAGATCAGATTAGGCCTAGATAGCCTACACTGAGTATGGAGATGAATAGTCAGTTACACAAACAGATATATAGACATTTACAAATACATAAACAATAGAGACTTCAATGCATACAAATACAGGTACATGCAGGGACTTACATATGCATAAAATCACAGGTGAACACAAGACACAGAATAGACCTTACAGATTGGAGGGAATTAGAAGTTTGACCTTCCTGGGGAAAGACTGATTATTCTTGAACATATGAGTCAAGTGGGCTGTTTTTGAACCTGGACATGACTGCAGTAGTGGGAAATATGACAATGGATTATGAACGTTACGACTACCATGACATGTCGCCTGTCTTCGGCCACATTACTATAGACTTAAGTTAGGCCCATGTTGGGGCAGAATTTTTCACTCTACCACTAGCTTCTCTTCCAGCAATGCCCAAGTCAATACTCTTATAACCTGTTAGTTATATATTTGTTTCACATTCCTCGACTTGTAACCCTTGCATTTCACTGTACTTTACATTGATAGGTATACAGTATTGCATATATTTGTGTGTGTACTCACCTAGTTGTGCTTGCAGTGGGGGTGAGCTCTGGCTCTTTGGTCCTGCCTCTCAACTGTCTATCAAATGGTGTACAGATTCCTGAAGGGTGTGTGTGTGTGCATTATGGTTGACTTAATAAATCTTCAGACATTGTATGGGTGTTTGGGTGTGACAATTAGATAGTGTGAAAATTATATGGTCAGTACATAAAGGTACATAGCATATTAGGCCTATTGCAGACCAGTTATCAAGGGGATGGTGGGAGACTCTGCCTGGAGGTAGAGTCTGTTCCCATGACAGACAGTACTCACCTAGTTATGGTTGTGGGGGTTGAGCTCTGGCTCTTTGGTTCCACAGTCTCTCTGGTCATGTCCCAATTCTGGCATCTGACACCATCATGTTTAGTTCCTTATATCATAAGAACTAATGAGCATTACGATCTGATTTCTGTATGCAATGTAACATGGTATGTATTTCTTTTCGGATTGGTAATTTTTTTTAAATAAATTTTTCCGTCCAATTACTGACGATGTGCAACTTTCCGCACTAGTATCCATACACATTTTATGATCTTTATTTTGATAAAAATACAGTATTATTATAACAATTCTTTTTAGGCACATACACCTCGACTTCAAAAATATTTTCACCACTCCATGTGTAGAAAACTTGCCATTCAGGAATTAAACTTTTATAGAACTGTATCAGACAATATGATTTCAGCAAGTTGAACTAGATTGTTAGTGAAAGTCCCAGAATCTCTGCAGATCTGTTCATTGTTAAGTACGCAGAAAGGCAAGTTCGTATGCACACAAGTTGTGTTCATTAATAAAATTCATTGTCATAGTAAGCATGAAATTTGCTTAAGTTTCTGTGCTGCCTATTCCCCCTCAAAAATCTAGGATTTAAATATTTTATTCATACAAATACTGTATTGTCAGGAATAGTAATTAAGAATGGCAATGTTGTAAACAGACTATTTGAGACTGATTTTTGAAGCATTTATGTATGTATGTATATTCAATGCACACTAGAGTGCATGCGGGTAATATATAAAAACTTGATTTGATATCGGCTCGATGCCTCAAGATCCCTAGTGGATTCAGTTGCATCCCAGGTTACATTACGTATAACGTATCGGGATTCATTGGTTTAAGGCATGTTCTTTGGAGTACCCATGTTGCTGGTTCGAATCCCCCGCATGGCTCCAGTTGATTTTCTTGTATATTCAATGTTCTGGTATATCTTGTGTTTAATATATTTAGTTTGTGCTGTATAGCTTATGTTAAATATTTGTTAGACAATGTTTATGCATACCAGGCTGAGATGGAGATTTATCAAAAATGTAGGAAATTTAGTTGAAAAAATTACTATTGAAAAGGATTAAGAAGTTTTTTTTAGCAAAAAAAAAAAAAAAAAATATGTTCAGTATACAGTACAGTACTAAGAAATAAGATGAAGGAGGGTAAAGTTGCCGTAATCTGAATGGTCAACGGTTACTGGTTGTGGACAATAGGAAAAAAATTTCTAGTCCCTGCATCGGTACATAGAATGCAATCACAGAAATACTATTAACTCTGAATATACTCCGAAAACATATTGAAACCTGAAAGATATCTAATACAAACCTGTTACAATAAGTTTCCTACTGTACTGGACTATTTTCAATAATCTCTTGGGAAAGCCACCAAATTATCTCTTTTTTATTTTGAAGTTTAACAGGTTAAATTTGATTTAAGATGTTCTCTTCAGCTTTCAGGTACAGTTGATACATGGTTCTTAAACTGTATGACACAGGTAGAGAGAGATCTAGGAATGTGTATTATGAATAATAAGTGACGTGTCCGAACACCAGCACCATAATTAGCCTCTTACCGGTAGCACAATACCAAGACTAGTGAATTCCAAATCAATTGAAAATGACACCGACACATGCCAAACACACCATACTACCTTGCATGTTAATATCGGATCTTAATGTTAATGATTCCCTAGAAATAAGCCACCAAACATTGAGATAACTTGTGTCAATGTAACACCCAAGGTATGCCAGTGTCTGGACATCTATGACGTTGAATAACTGGCAACCAGGTATGGTTGCTGGTTATTCAGCAACCATGCAACCAATTTTAGGACTCATGATAATTTTGCAATGAAAGAAGGCACATTTTAGACCATATGGTACTATACATTTTTATACAGTACTGGCAAAATTTTTATAATCGGGATGCTGCTCATTGTGTGGATGCTACCAACCTGCATATCTGAACACTTACCGAGTGCCTTAACACCGGGTAATGTTATTTTCTGGCTGCTATTGCCATGGGTAGTTCTTATACAGCATCCATTCCAGTGTCATATTTTAGACTATTGTCTCAAAAAAATTATACCGTAAGTGTTCCAATAACCTGCAGTCATTTTTTTATCCACCGTAATGTCAATAGGTTTAGGTAAGTGTACTGTATTTGTTCACTAGCGACTATGCAACAGGAAATATGACTGAAATGTTATTTAGAAATGATATCATGTGCAGTTTGGATTTGTGGGATGACCCATTCTATTTGAGCCTTCCTATTATGCTTCATGGATCTCCAAAATAATGTTTATATTAGACTATACAGGTATATGGAGACATTCTCTTCAGGGATTACAGTTCAAGGATACTGTATTTAACCTAAATTGCATTAAACAGTGTTGGAATGAATTGGTTCCCATTGTCGGGAACAGGAAAACTAGTAGGCTTCTTGAGGCCAACTTAGGCCAACTACTGATCTTTCCCAGGATGCAACTCACAACAGTTGCCTAGCTCCAAGGTACTTATTTACTGCTAGGCGAATAACGGCATCAGGTGTAAGGGTATGTGGCCAAACATCGAGCCATTGAGCCTGGCCTCAGGCCGGGCTCTGGGAGTAGAAGAACTCCCGAGACACTCCCGATACCTTCTCCAGCTACGGGCTCACCATAGCCCGTGTTACTTGGAACTTTTTGTTCCAGGTAGCTAATCTTTAACAACAACCTTCTTCAGGTAAACATCACATCCTGTGTGGGAATCAAACCCAGGACCATTTGGCTGCAAGCTTATTATGCTGAACACTGTGCTAGAGGAGTTTTTTTTATCACTTGGGTAGTAGAATATAATATACACACTGTAGTACGATTTTTGATTGGCACAACTGTTTTAATCCAGCAAGAGCATGTGGGTCTCGGTGTTCATGTGTGTACATAATGATAATAATTTAAATACAGTCCTGTACTGTATGTTTAAGAGTACAGGTACGGTAGTTATAATTTAGTAATGATTTTGTATTAAAATTAACTTGTGATCTAGTAATATGGTCAGTGTCTGGTAATATTTCTGGGTGTATTCAAATTATACTGCACCATATGTGGTACTGTACTGTATATTTATATTAAATTATAATACACTATATGTACAGTATGTGGTACATATTAAAAGACTATACTGTATGTAGTGCTTATAAAATGAACTGTAATAACCATCCTCTTGTTTAGATAGTAGTTTTTGTAGCTATGTGCACCATAGTACAAGCAAGCAATTAGAGAGTAGAATTTGGTACTATTCACTTTATAGTCCCAAAAAATGAAGCTAAAAAAACAAATATTCCTGGCCTAGTATAGCACACACATGTACTATATTAGGCCTCAGATAGTGTATTAGACCTAGGAAGGTTAGGTTAGGTTAATTTAGGTTGTCCTCGCAACATAAATATAAAACCTTTTCTGGATTGTCTAAATTCAGTAGTACAGATTCTACTTTTTAATTGCAATATATGTCAATATATGTACAATGGTCCTCATCGTTACTATTAGTACTACCAAAACAGGAAGCCGGGCTGTGCGTACAATGCTAAAATCACAATTCACTGTATACAGTATTTAAATATTAGGAATGAATAACCCTTAATTGACTCGTTAATTTACAAAGCTCTAATATTGTGTTTACATTTTTGTATATTTTAACTTTATTCAGTATGTAATATTATTGGTAATTGTTTTAAATACCGTACATTAATGTTATTTTTTTTGTTTTTCTAGAAATATGATAAGGCCTACAACAGTGTTATTAGCTTGACTCGTGGTTTGACAGAAGAGGAGTCACATCATGCGTTAAACAAAGTCTTAGATGACCGCAAGGTTCACGATGAACTCTGCATGGGTCTGCTGGTCAGCATCCTTGCCGACCCATCCATAGCCTCACGGGTAAGAATGTTGAGTGGGTGAGATACAAATTGGGTTTAAATATATGTAAATATATATTGTTAAAGTAAAGGGACTTTTGTGTGTGTGTGTACTTGTATTTTTCTTGGGGAAACTTGAAATGGCTGCTTACTGTATTTGCCTTATTTATATCAATATTTCATCAATTAAATAGTTGTAGTAACCTAGTTTTATATGTATTTTTAGTAGAATTGAGGTAGTCTAGGACCGTTTGTACAGTACAGTAGTTACACTACAGTAGTTGGCCCATATCTGGAGTCCTTGTTACGAGCGTTGGACAAACAATTGATCACTGGAACTTGTCTGACAGTTGTGTTCATGCTCATTGGTCAGCTCATAATTAGGTTGAATTATTGGCATGTCCTAACCAATTTATCAGCATAACTTACTACAGACATGATGGAAACGGCACCTAAAGTATATTGAGTAGAGGATAGTTACAGATATTCCATTTGAATTTACTATGTTAGTCCTTTGTGGGTTTATTTTAATTTACAATGTCAAAGAATAATTTTTCATTTGGGTGCAATATCTGACATTTGCATTACATTGCAGCACTACCATGATCTGACTCTCCTGACCCGTGACTCACTGAAGGTGGTGACAGAGACGCTGATACACCAGATTATTGGCGAGAGATTTTCGCGGTTGTCCGAGAGCACGAGAAAACAACTCTTGTGGCTGGTTCGGGAACTTGTCAAGACGGGCATAAATAACGTGGAAGGAGTTGTTTGGTGCCTCCTCAGACAAATTGCCGGTGGAGATGTGTCGCCGAAAAATATTTGGTTGGCTGAAAGCTTAGTAGATATACTAAGAGAAAATCGGTGAGTGGTTTACAAGATGGGAACAGAATTCTGCATAAGTAAAATGGGAAGAGACTTAAGTCAAATTATATACATGTACTGTTGTGTATATAGCTTTTAAAACAGATGGAATTTTATCAATTTTTCATGTAAATCAAGGAGTTAGTATTTCATAATATTTAAGTAAGTTCTTAAGTTTATGATGAATTTCAATGCTTTCAGACCATGGTTAGACAAGTTTCCAGTGATCGTTGCATCAGTGACTTACACATACTTGCGTATCTTAGAAGATCATCATGCGCCACAGTTTGCTGGCCTAAGACAAAAAGAGGTTAATTTTGTCGTTGGCCTCTTGAGAGAACGCTTTCAGGTAAGTACAGTATTGTACGTGTGTGATAAAATATAAATAATTTTTAAGGGTCTAATTCTGATGCTCATAGATTAAAAACTTACTGAAGTAATTACTTTTGCATGCTTAAGAATTTTTTTTTGTTTGATTTTTTAGCATTCTTTTTCCGAGACCACTTTGTGTGTTGCGCAGTGCTTGGCTCCTCTTGAGAGATATTGTAGGTGTATGTTGTAGGTGCTTTTTTTTTATGGGCGCCTGACAGCTGAGTGGACAGCGTTTCGGATTCGTAGTCTTGAGGTTCCGGGTTCGATCCCCGGTGGAGGCGGAGACAAATGGGCAAAAGTGTTTCTTTCACCTTGATGCCCCAGTTACCTGGGAGTTAGACAGCTGCTACGGGCTGCTTCCTGGGGGTGTGTAACAAAAAGAAGGCCTGGTCGAGGACCGGACCGCGGGGACGCTAAGCCCTGAGGTCATCTCGAGATAACCTCAAGATGATAACTAGGGATGTGGGTCCACAGGAAACTTAAGTTAAGGAAAATTAAGTTGCTTTTCGTGCATGAATGATAGTTAACGTTTAACAGTTTGCCGATGAGCTAACAGAAACCCAGTTTCCTAAGAAACGTATTCCCAATAGTTTGTTTTTGTACATGCCTTACTGTACTGGATGATCACTGTCCCATATTTTTGTGATCAGGCACACTATGTGAGTGTCACGTTACTTGCATACCTTTATTACATTAATACAATATTTAATACATAGAAAATATTAATCTCAAATTTCTTGGCCCCCCAAAAAAGAAAGTGCCAAACTTCCAACAGAAAAGTGGCAAATGCTCAACAAAAAAGTGGCAAATGCCCAAGTGTCGCACCTCATTATAAGGGGGGGGGGGCAGGTCAGGTTCTGGCTCATGGTCCTTGGTAAACCTAAAAAAAAAACACGACTGATGGCATCTAGTAGATTGGCATTATATTAGCATTATAGATTCTGGGGGGGGGGGGGGGGCAGATGGGGCTCACCCAGAAATTGGTGTTTTACTACATTCAACGCTTTTTTTTTTTATGTAATGCAGAGAAAATTCAATCGAATATGAAAACAGTGCTAATGAAACTTCCTAAGTATAATTTGATAAACATTCTTTGTTGTTGTCATAATCACTTTTATCAAGGACATAAGTAAAAATATATACACAATTTTAAGTTTTTTCATGAACTTCTGTTTTGTACTGTACTTGTGAATCTCAGTAATGTACATTTTAAATGTTTTCAAAAATAAAAAAAAGTGTGTTTTGAAAATTAGTTTACCATCCAATTCCTTGTGTATTTTGATTACTGTATCTGTGTTACTGTCACCTTCAGGATTGCTTAATGATTGGAAGAGACTTGGTTCGGCTCTTGCAGAATATTGCCAAAATACAGGAGATTGAAGCCTTTTGGAGAGATTTGATACATAATCCGACCTCTTTGTGTGCAAGTTTTACTGGTAAGTAATTCCTTATTGACCTTTAAATATAAAATTCTTTTATATAAATGCTTTTTTTTCTATGGAAGAGTTAGATGTAAAGGTATGCTGAACAGCAGTTCTAATTGATTGGCATTGAAATTTACTTATCTGTTTATCTTTACCTCTATGTACATATAATTCAGCCGACCAATCACAAAGTAGTCCCTCGTACATTCATACGGATAAATTTGAGAGCTTCATGTTGAAGCTAACATTGTCCCATGGCTGGTGTGCTAAACTGATTTGTCTAGACAGGCACACACATCTCCTTTAAGCAGAATGTTTTCGTTGCAGGTAATCCACAGTCATGATATCTTGCAATATTGGCTGTCCCATTCTTTCAGTTGCATACTTTCAACCATTTAGTTCGTGTTTAGTTTGGTGTCGGCAACACCAAATAAATACTTGGCAATAATGCAGAGGGAAAAGCAATGACATTAGCAGTCACTGACTCAGCTCTCACATATCTTGGTATTAGCATCTCTGTATCCAGATGTCTTCTCTCATGTGAGAAGGTAGTCTGGGTCAAGGAAGCTGCTGGCTTCGAGGTTTATATTTTGCACGAATGATACAGGCCACAGTTTTAAAAACAAGATCATATAAGGATTTTGCATCAAAAATATTTGATCAAGTTTCTCAATAAGATTGTCTCAGTTTGCAAGTCTAGTCCCTAAGAAATTATTATTATTATTATTTTGTTTATGTTTGTTTGAGCCAAGTATTATGTTAACTGCTACCTATGGTGGGTTTAATTAATTATTGTTTAGATGTCCCATGGTGAGTAAATATACATCTTGCATTAAAGGCATGTAAAAGTCACGCTTTACGAGATGTATGATGTATGTGATGGTCATGCTTAACGAGATGTATGATTGTATAAGGAGTTTAAAGTTGCGTTCATTTTTTTTCCTTTACTCATTCAAGGCATTGCAGATCCAATAAGAATTTGACATTAAGCATTGGTATTACATTGCCTCTGAAAGGTGACTGCCTGAAATGCTATGCATTTTAGTAGCTTTGCAGGACTGTAATATTTGTTGGGTAATTAAAATGCATGGAAAAATGTTGATGCTCAGCAGTTTTGTAGCTTGTTGTGTCTTGGATGAGTAATGACATAAACAGAAGTGCAGTTTTGTACAAGTTTGTGCAAGTCTTCCTTTTATGTTGTTGTTGTATCATGGACCTTCGTTGATGTTGTTCGCTTCAACTCCTCGATTGTTTCAAGTCCTGTATTCCTGTACAGTATTTCAAGTCAATTCCTGTATTATATGGCTGGTAATGCATTTTATAGCATGATTATATTATATACAATATACTTATTCACCATGAGACTAACTCTAAATCTTGTAGAGAGACTAATTCTAAATCTTGTAGATGGCATTTTTCATGGTCAAATTTGTATTCTTTAGAGGGCAATTACTAGGATAACACGGCAGCTGCTCCTCTAAGTGTAACCATATATATATCGACTCAAATGGCAGGCTTTACTAAGTATAGAAATTTGCTTTGTGTAGTTTTTATCAAATCATCTTGATTCTAAAATACTTTACAGAAAGGTTTTATTAAGTATTTATATATCTGAACTGAAATTTGGTTTAAGCTATTACTTTTTTTTTTATTTTCCCCACAAACATGTTGCATCTCGCCATCAGAAATATACTGACCTTCCTCCACCCCATCACTTCATCATTGATTCATGACTCTGTTGCTGCAGCTGCCACAGGAAATATCTCTCTTTGTTTACACACCCCCCATTAAATTAACATGCAAGTGGAACTTTTCACTTTTATAAACAATGTAGCTCTTTGGATGCGGTGTGTACCGGATATTTTTCTCAAGATTTGCCGGTTCTTGAAAGTGGTTGTAAATGGTATCTTTACAGCAACAAAATTGCAGTTGTAAATGCTGATTTCTTAGAATTTGAAGAAATTTCTTATTTCATCATTGGTTTAAATTTTACCTGCAGTAAACTAAAACTTAAAAGTAAATATTTGAATATTTAATATTATATGGGTTACCCCCTTACGTTCTATTCTTGGGAGAGTAGTAAATATTTGAATATTTAATATTATATGGGTTACCCCCTTACGTTCTATTCTTGGGAGAGTCGCAGTAAGGATGCAATTTTGTTTGATTGTTATTGTGTGGTATTTGGGTGGTGACATGGTAGATGGACATGTGTCTGCGATATTTTTCTAATACTGTATGTGCATAAGTAATGTCTGATTGCATTTCTTCGATACTATAGGATTTAGCTAAGTTGCTACAATTCAAGCTATGTTATGATGATTAGGGTTCCAAGATAAATACATAAAGAAACTTTTTTCCTTTTAAATACATTAGCTTCCTTCTGTAATAAAAAAAAGTACAGTATTATTTTTTGTTATTTGGTAATATATTTAAATACTTGTTTACAGGAATTCTTCAACTCCTTCAAACACGAACATCACGAAGATTCTTTGTAGTGAGGTTAACCCCAGAGATGGAGAAAAAGATAGTGTTCCTATGTACAGATGTCAAATTTGGTATGCAAAAAAGATACCAAGAATGGTTCCAGAGACAGGTGTGTAGAGTAGCAGTTTAATTCATTTCCTTTTAAACCTTTCATTAGTTTTAAGTAGCAGCAGTATGGATTTTTTTGTTTACAGCCGAGTTTGTGTGTAATTGTGTGTGTGTGTGTGTAATTACCTAAGTGTAGTTACAGGATGAGAGTTAAGCTTGTGGTGTCCAGTCTTCCCAGTACTCTTTGTCATACACCGCTTTGAAACTACTGACGGTTTTGGCCTCCACCACCTTCTCACCTGTCTTGTTCCAACTGTCTGCTACTCTGTTTGTGAAGTGTGTGTATGTGTGTGTTTCAGCTAAGAAAACTGTAACCTCTGGGATTGATTGTTGGATTATGTATGTTACCCATTTGTTGGTTGTCAAGAGGGAAGGAGGGATTTTCTTAGGGTAGGAGCCTCTAATGCATGCGAGATATGGGAGTATTATGGGAAAGCAAAGGTAGAGGTAGTTTTTCTTTCAGAATTTTAGAGTTATGTAATGGGTTATGGATATGTAAGTTCAAGATGGTATTGGTAGATAAAAAGATAGTAATACAAAGATTTGCCTATTGTGTACTGGTTCTGTAAAGAAAACATGAATTTAGGGAGATGAGAAAGTGTTATATAAATGCATGAGTACATAGAAAATGGTAAATGTTTTGTAGAGTAGCAAGCATAAATGTAGATAAAATATTCTTTCTACCCAAAATTTGTAGAGGTTAAATTTTGGCACGCCTCTTTGAATTAGGCATAGCACAGTTGCGGCCTATATCTTCACCCATTGCTGCACATTTAGCTATGCATATACAATGATGATAAGGGGTAGAGGTGTGGAAATGGCACTTGTGTCTGTCTCCCACTGTGCACCGACTTGATGTGGGAGTATGTCTCCCAAGATTCTCCCACACCCACTAAAGGTCAGAAGTTTCCCCTGCCCCACATGAGTGAAAACCTAGCGATGATATTGAAGACCTAGAAGCACAGATTCATTCATAAGAGATGCCTGAAGAAACAATGGCGAGAATGTAACCTTTGATTGTTTGTCTAATAATAGATGAAAGGAAATGGGTAGTAGTATATGCAAAGTCAGTTATTGGAATGTTGCTTTGTTCAAAATGCTAAGCTGCATTATCCAAGTTCACCCTTTATACAAAGTGCGTCTGCAATCCATAATAATGCAACCTGTCCTCTTGAATAGCACATCACATAGCACAGAGTGGGATTGGGTGGGTATAAATAGGAGCTGCCTCGTATGGGCCAATAGGCCTTCTGCAATTGCCTTTGTTCTTATGTTATGTTCTTATCATATTTTGATGTCAAAATTCCCAGCAGACAAAATATGATGTGGTATAAATCATAGCAACTTACAAACATACATGTTTCTGTGCATGTGTCCATTGGTTTGGTTAGATTCAGGGAATTTAGTAAATGTATATTTTTTGTGACGTGACAACGGTAGAGGACGGGCTGAATAATGAATGAACATTGTTCTTTCGTTATTCGTTCATTGTTCGTTCATTGTAAGCGAGTTAAAGCAACGGTTTTGCAGTTGAGACAAGGTACGGTGACAGGAATGTGAAAATAAGCAAACAAGGAAGTAGTGCTTGTTGGAATGTGTGTGTGTTAGAGGCAAACGAAACATTCTGCTACACGCATATACACATACATAAATATATACATGCACACACATACTTAAATATATAGTAAATACTCATCTTACCTTCTCACTTGACACTGGTTTCCTGTTTAGTCTTTTAACTTCTATTATAATTTTGTTTCAATTTAATTATTTTAACATTGTAGGTCTGATCTGTTTAGTTAAAGTTTAAATCTCTCTCATGTGATGAAAAGGCAAGTGTAGAGAGAATATGTTTTAATAAGACTGGAATGTGGAGAAGGCAAACATTATTTTAACAGACCAAAGTGAGCAAGTATATTTTTAGAATGATCTCATGAGAGTGTAAGAGAGAGATGGAGTAAATTGTAAAATATTCTGAAAAATTTGTCTGGATAGACGCACCCAGGAGGTTTTACTCGTGGGGTTACTTCTTGAAGGGAACATCACCATAGTATATTGAAATGTCAATGTTATTTCTAGGACTCATTCCTGTTCTGGGAAGCTCATAGCCGCACATCCGTGTAGTTGGATTGTGTGTAGCTGTACCTCATTTGTTGCTCACATAAAGAGTCTACAAATGCTCTTTCAACTCTTCTTTCTTAGCAAGTTTTGTTAATGTACAATACTGATTCTCATTACCAGCGTCGTTTTTAATCCTTTCGCTCTAATGGTCGATAATGGCTGACTAAAAATAATGGTACAGTAATTCCCTGTGATAATCAGCTTGTAACCAGGTGCCTGTATAAAAGCTCGCAAATTATGTTATGTTCCACCTGGTCCTCTTTCCTTCAAAACACAAGGCCTGGATATGGTTCGTGCAATTTTTTGCTGATGGCAGAATCAAGTGTCATCCCAAACAGTAGCCTACACCAACCATCATACCCCACAGAGGATCTGCAGCATATGCACTACCTAGGATGAGGCCCCTTGAGAGAAGGAAGCCCCGAGGGGCAGACTGCCGAACCCTGTCGTGAAAGATAACCCAGACTGGAGGCAAGGGCTATTCTGGCAACTCCAGTCACACTAATAGTCAGGGCAAAGAAAGAATTGAGGATTATGCAACAGGTTGTCAGAAAAACACTTGTACGAAGGTGTATTTAGGTACACAGACACAGGCCTTCCCACAGGACAAAGTCTGAAAGGAAAGGAAACACCTGAGATTTGAAGCCTGACTGAGAGCCTGTCACTAAAGGTGACAGTGCCATGCACGTGACTGGAGTGGGTGGCCAGTTGGGATCCTTGACTCGCTTGGGTCCCCATCGGGTGGTGAGTGAGTGCTGCTAGCTAGTGGTTGGACCTTGACAACAAGTGTGTGCATAATTCACATCAGGGTTACATATGTTGTCTATGCAGTTATTTGTTTTGGCGCACAACTTTACTGGTGATTTTTTCTTTTGGTTCTTTTGTGAGCATGTATCTCTGAATTCCCCCTTGCATCTGTTGAAGGAGCTAGATTCTGGTCCTTGTTTCTGGTAGACACTCATGATTTGTAAGATTGAACAATATGGTAGGAAATGTAGAAAAGACCCAATGAAGAGTAAGGGTGCCATAGGTGCAATGAGAGAGCAATTTATGGACATCATAGGTCCACAGCTTTTCAGTGTCCTCCCAACAAACATAAGAAATATTGTGGGAACTAAAGTGGAGGTGTTCAAGAAACAATTAGACAAGTTCCTGCAAGAAATGGTAGACTCGTTGGGTTGTAATGAATATGGGCCTGCACGCCACTCCAAACAACAGACCTTTTGGTCAAGTTATTTATAGTCAAGTCTGGCCTAAAATGTAAGAAGGCATAGCAGAAGGGAGCGATGTTGGACGAGTGGACTAAAGGCCACTGTTCTGTTTTGGACCATTGGCTGTTTTGGTGCTTTATTTTCATGAACCATGCCGTTGTCTGTATTGTCTTGCTTATTTCTGGTTGCTGTCTGAGTAAAGGTGATGGTAACAATCCCCTGATCCCTGTGCCTCTTTGAGCTGGCCAGGTTCTGGATCTGGTTTCGGGTAGACCAACAGGATGCCTGTGACTGACGTGACTCAGTAATGGGAAGTTATCTTAGCGACATAGGTTCAGGGAGCCACGGGGTCTCGCCCAGAGAGGCAGTGGGGCGTTTCATTACTGTACATTCAATATTGGTATTTTGAGAACATATGTGGTTATCCAGTTAAAGATCTCGTGCTTGGTTTCGGTGGAAATTAGGCCCATGTAGTGTTTTGGTGACCCCAATATTTTCTGATTTCGCATTGCCCTTAGGAAATTATTAGTAGATATTTGTTAAAAAAAAGAGGTTTTGGATAGGTTCATATTTACTTAATACTCTATAGCTAAATTCCTCTTCTAAATGAGTATGTTGTAATTCATCTGGTGAGCTAGAATATTCCTTATTTTCATATTAAACACCTGATTTAAAACTTACATATAATTCTCATGCTTTTGTTTGCAATATCTGGCTTATGTTTTTCTTCTCAGTACCTGAACACCCCGGAGAGCCAGACATTAAGATGTGACCTCATCCGTTTTATTATTGGCTGTATCCACCCATCCAACGAAGTCCTATGTTCTGATATTATTCCACGCTGGGCTGTGATTGGCTGGCTTCTTTCATCTTGCACATCTCCTGTTGCAACAGCCAACTCAAAGCTGGCACTGTTTTATGATTGGCTCCTTTACAATACTGAAACAGACAACATCATGAATATAGGTGAGTTTGACCGCTTCTCTTTACTATGCAATAAGAAAAAGGGAAAAGTTCTTTCAGTTCTATATCTGATTAAAGGCCAACAACACTAAATGAGAGGGTTTTCAGTTGTAATTCATTACAAGAGAAAGATTCCCACTATAGGTCAAGTGCCCTTGCATCCCCTACAACAAAGATTGAGGGGGCGTAGAGATTGGGCTTGGATTTAGGGTCTGTGCTTACTCAAGTCCCTGCAAGCAATGGCAGGTATGTATGAATGTAAATCATGTGAGAAGTGTATGAGTAACACAGGAATTTGGAAATGGTGATATTGTTTTAAGAAAAGATTGTTGCATTAGGATAAGAATGAGAGAGAAAAAGAGAAAGGTAGAGGAGTAGTAAGGCGCTGTTCCAGATACATGTGTGTAGATCAACTTGACCTCTTTTTTACCTCCATTTAATTGGTCACGTTTGTAATATTGCATATTTCCTGTACTCTATTTAATAGATTAGCCTAAGTGGTAGTATTCAACTCGTCTTGCTGTTTAGCTAGTACTTTTTATTATTATGTGAACCATCGTATATACAGAGACATAATGGACAATTAGATAGTAGAATTTTGTACTATTCACTTTATATATTCTGAAAAAAAAATAAAGCTAAAAACCAAACTTAAATATGCCTAGTTTTTGTATAGCACATATATGTTATACATATATACACTCAGATAGCATGTTTTAGTCCTAGTTAGGTTAGGTTAAGTTTACTTTGCAACATAAGTACAAAAACTTTTCCGGTTTGTCCAAATTCAACAGTACCGATTTCTACTTTTACTTTTTTTCTAAATTGCCTTTTACCTCGATATATGTACAGTGCGATGGTCCTCATCGTTACCATAAGTAGTACCCAAACAGGAGGATGGGCTGTTGTATTAGAAATATAAATAAAGGGGAACAAGCAAGAGATTCAAAAGGATAAACTATTTACTCTAATAAATTTGGTATACACATAAATAATCTGAAATGTTCCAAGCTGCATTTGAGGAAAAGGTGGAATACAGTAATAGTATTTGAAGGACAAGAACTAAGCTGCCCTTTTGCAATTAGTGCCTACACTGTACTCACCTAGTTGTGCTTGCGGGGGTTGAGCTCTGGCTCTTTGGTCCCGCCTCTCAACCGTCAATCAACAGGTGTACAGGTTCCTGAGCCTATTGGGCTCTATCATATCTACACTTGAAACTGTGTATGGAGTCAACCTCCACCACATTGCTTCCTAATACATTCCATTTGTCAACCACTCTGACACTAAAAAAGTTCTTTCTAATATCTCTGTGGCTCATTTGGGCACTCTGTTTCCACCTGTGTCCCCTAGTGCGTGTTCCCCTTGTGTTAAATAGCCTGTCTTTATCAACCCTGTCGATACCCTTGAGAATCTTGAATGTGGTGATCATGTCCCCCCCTAACTCTTCTGTCTTCCAGCGAAGTGAGGTTCAATTCCCGTAGTCTCTCCTCTGTATTGTTATATTTATTCTAATATATTTGCAGAGCCGGGAATTCTCGTGATGTACCACTCCATGCGGCCGCACCCAGTTCTTACCACTTCCCTCCTCGACTTTATCTGTAGGGTAAGTTTTCTGCTGTCTTATCCAGTATGAACACTCGTGGGGGGCAGTAGCTGCTTCTCTTGCTGTTTGTGTCATGCAATATGTCATTTACTTTTATTATCTGTATAGACTGGAGAACATAACTAAAACTTGATCACATTGTACTATTTCATGATAATGGGTGTGGGATATTACCTTTACATGATTGTAATTGCATGTATCACCACCAATTTGCTTATGACAGATAACTTGCTAAAGGCTATCAAGGTCCAGTAGCCTCCAGAATAATGGGTACAAGATCTGGGTACAGTAGTTGAGTAGGATTCCTCTGTGGTGTGATCCTCGTCACACAGGTGTTTACCCTAATAATCCTGTAAAGGAATTTTTAGTATTGTTGCTGCTTCATTTACTATGGTGTTCCTTGATTCACTAAATTCTGAAGGTATCAAGTTTGCCAGTGCAAGCAAGTGATCACTTGTTCCTGTGTGACTGATTGTTGTATGAGTGTGATTGTTTAGCATCATGTAGCTAGCTCTTGACTCAATATGTAACCCTTTATATAGTCTAGCATAGTTGCATAAATGCAGATATACTTAAATATGTTTATAAAAAAAAACTCCAGTTTCTTTGGTTCCCTGTTCCAAGGTTCGTTTATTTCAGGCTGGCCACTGAGTGTCATCAAGTCTACTCAGCCTGCAGTCTACCCTCAGGCCCATTATATTCACAAGTTTGTTGCTTTGTCTGCAATGTTTTCTAACATGTCATGGGCTAGTATTTGGACCCGAGGGTTTTGAAGGTCTAACAGGGTCCTAGCAGCTTGTTTATGTCATCAATGTTCTTGGTCTCTGTCAGGCTTGTGTTGCCCTGAATTAGGTTTCCCATTCCATGTCTCATCTTTGTGAGTGTCATTTTCACTTTTTTTTTTCACTCTTTTTCACTCCGTCTTTCGTTTTCTTTCTACTCTGTTGTTAGCTTCAGGGAGTCACCATTCAGCTCCTCCAAAAAACCAGTGTCAAATGTAATGATCCTTCCTTCTGGTAGGGCCTCGGTGGCTCCCTGATTTCCTGTCCCATCTGCCAGATGTATCAGTTCGTGGTCTTCAGCTCTGGATTGAGGCTAAGATGGTGTGGAAACCAGGCACTCGAGATGGTGGTACCACCTGTTGGTGGCCAGCTATAACTTTGGGGGGGGGGGGAGTGCGACCAAGTCTCCGAGTGAATTGTTTGTAGAGTCACTTGACTGCGTTAGTGCTTTGATTTCTGTAAACAATGCACTTGTCTATATTGCTTATTTTACTTTCTGGACGTTTTCTTAGGGTGATTGTGACAATCCCCTGTGCCTCTGTGAGAGGGGGCCAGGTTCTGGCTGTGGGGACAGATTCACAAAGCAGTTACTCAAGCACTTACGAACCTGTACATCTTTTCTCAATCTTTGGCAGCTTTGTTTACAATTATTAAACAGTGAGTGCTGAAGCACCAGGAAGCTGTTTATAACAATAACAACAGTTGATTGGGAAGTTTTCATGCTTGTAAACTGTTCAATAAATGTAACCAAAGACGTCAAAAATTGAGGAAAGATGTACACGTTCGTAAGTACTTGCGTAACTGCTTTGTGAATCTGGCCCCTGGTCCCTGGTAGGCCATACAGGACTCCAAAGGCTGGTGTAACTCAACGGAATGGAGCCATCGAGGTCCTATCAGAAAGAGGCATTTCATCATGTTGAACTCTGGTTTTCCCCCCTTTGTATGGTGGCTGGGTATTTCAAATTGTTCTCTTTGGGGTACTCTCATTCCTTGTGGCAATGGTTGTTGTGGCTCGCTTCAGTTTGTGACAGTGGTTGTTGTGGCTCGCTTTAGTTTGTGGCAATAGTGGTTGTGGCTCGCTTCAGTTTGTGACAGTGGTTGTTGTGGCTCGCTTTAGTTTGTGGCAATGGTTGTTGTGGCTCGCTTCAGTTTGTGACAGTGGTTGTTGTGGCTCGCTTTAGTTTGTGGCAATGGTTGTTGTGGCTCGCTTCAGTTTGTGACAGTGGTTGTTGTGGCTCGCTTTAGTTTGTGGCAGTGGTTGTTGTGGCTTGCTTCAGTTTGTCGCTCATGTTCCAGTGGCTCTCACCCTCTGTATTTCTTGGGTAATTTTTCCTATTGAGCTCTGCTTTCGGGCTCCTGCATAATGCTTTTGTGTGTGGGTTCCGTTGTTCGTGATGGTTAACAACCAGGTTCTTATAGGTCAGCTCTAGCTGAGGCATTGCGTCTTGATTTTTGGTGTCAATCCTCTTGGGTCGATCTATCCTCTTACTTGTTTTTCTTGCCTTTGCTTTCATCCATCTTCAGCTTGTGTGGGTCCCTTTGGAACAGTCTTGGGTTTTGGATGTGGTCCAGTATGTCTCCCTGTTGAGGGTTTAGGGTTAGGGTATTCCCCATTCCAGGTGCCTTCCAATTTGTTGTTCAGTTCACATTAGTTAGTCATGTTAATTATATTTTTGTTGCCAATAAAGTTATCATCATTCATGATATATTAATTTTTGCAGATAATTCCAAACTTCCATCCTCCTTTGGCGGACAAGGTTCGATCAGGAGTGCACAATTCCCTTCGGCAAATTTTAGAGAAGAGAGTAGTGCAATCACTCGATCCACTCTTTGACAACCGCCACATGGATGCAGAATTGCGGAAGCTCATTCGTGAAACATTCCCCGAATTCTGTTCAAACTCAACCTCTGGGGATGTGAAACCTGAGGACTTTGTTGCCCCAGTGTCTTCAGCTTCTGTTACCAGGATGGACCTTATGGTGGAGACAGGTCTGGATTTTGGAACCTCAACAGTTAATAATGATAATGATGTGAATAACAGTAACCACATAGGCGAGGACGATGCCATGTTTAGTGACGAGGAGGAGGAGCAGCCACTGACCCCAAAGGCTCCCCTTCCTCCACCTGCACCCAGTAAAGTCAAAGTGGAGGAAATCTCACCTGCCGCCCCCATCCCAGTGACAGAGTTGGTGGAGGTGAAAACCAAAGTGAATGATGTGTGTAGTGTGGAGGAGAAAGTGGACCTCAGTAAACACTTAGAATATTTGGAGAGTGATATGAAGACAATTCTTCTGGAATACCAAAATGAAAAGGACACTAAACAAAGGTAGGAAGAGCTTGTTTTGTGTGTTGCTGTGAGGAAAAAGGGTAATGTGTTTTATAGCTTAAGAGTTTATCTTTGTATAGGAAAACACAATTTGATCTTATCTGCTGATTTATTCTTAGCATTTACTGTATTATTTACGATATGCTAACCATTCATTCAAGCTTATCCAAACTTGAATGGTTGTTGGACCATAAAAATGTATTCTTCATGCCCTGTTGAAAAACAAAAAGTCGAGTAGATTTTATTGATGATTTGATAAAGCCATTATGGGTAAAAATGTCGTTTTCAATAATGTCTCCTCTTTATATATTTTTTTTTTAAATTTGCCAGAAAAAATGAAAAAGACTGGGTGGGGTTTAGGACCAGAATACTATTTAATGCAAAATATATTTCTTGGTAACCTGGAGTCTTGGTCGTAATTCCCAAGGATCGAGGAAATGTCAAGCCTTTAAATACTTTAAATACGGATCCCCGACCGTCCCAGTGGTTGGCACCATTCCTTTTCCCCCGTCCCATCCCAAATCCTTATCCTCACCCCTTCCAAGTGCCATATAGTCGTAATGGCTTGGCGCTTTGCCTTGATAATTCCTTCTTTCCTACCTGCTCATCGAAGCAAATATCCACCATTCAATTTTGAATGTAAGTTCTGTAGCATAAAATAATAGGAAAGTCTCTTTGTGACAGTTTAAATGGTCACTTTGGACTTAAAAGTTCACTTTCGTATCACAGTATTCAAGATGTTCTTAAGGTTGGAAACATACAAGATACCTAAGATTTTCTTTCTATAAAACTATTCTAAGAAATATTTTCACTTGTCACCGAGTCAGAATGTTCATTTGAGCATCTTGCATAAATTTATGCTTATTTAGACTCAAAGACATCTACCATATATGGTAGAAGTCTGAATAGGTTTTCATCGTATCTTTCATTTGAGAGAAAGTGGGTGGTAGGGAGGTTGGCTGGGTGTGTATGGGTGTGTGTGTACTCACCTAATTGTGTGTGTAGGGGTGTGTGTGTGTACTCACCTAATTGTGTATGTAGGGGTGGGTGTGTGATACTCTCCCACCAGCTGCCTCAAGTCCTCAATGACCCACACTCACATGATTTAACCGTGTCCTCCGTGTTGGTGGGGTGGCGGGCCGTGGGCATGTGATAGGAGGAGGGTGGAGGGGGCGTTTACTCATGAGGCCAATTACAAAATGGTGGACCACCATTACCGTGCACATGTATTTTCGTTTATTTATTCGTGTAATTGTACCACTTCACTCTTCAAAAACAGGTAACTTTGACAAGCAGGATAACTCCATCTTTCAAGGTAAACTTTTTTGTTTGTATATATATACTGTATATATATATGATGTCTCAGAAATATTGGTTTTGTGAAAATCTTTGATGGCCTGGAAACACATCTCCCAGTTATAACATTGCACCTGTGGAAAATTGATCCGCGTTCCGAACAAATGATTTGCTCATTTCAGAACGTAACTCATTTGTAATTGGGGAAATGCCTGTACTGTGAATATATTAATAATAAATATTAACACTATAGCAGTACAATTGCACATTTTAGCATCATACACTGTTTTGCAAGCTTCACTTCCTTAATTTGATTTGTATCAATTTGCCACAACTCTTCTGAAATATATTGGCACCGAGTGGAGCTTGCAGATGTCATATTAAGTACTGTATAAGAAAACCACCCAGGCCTAGACATGTGGGCCCAGGGAACTCCCTGGAGCCCACATGTCTTTTGTTCCTGTGATTTCCAATATATTTCTCATCTCTTTGTAACATTTTGTGTTGGAATTATTTATAATAGTGCATGTAATGAATTGGAGAACTCCAAAATGTATCAGAACAATTATCACGAAAGTCAGTGATACAAGTGTGAAAGAACTGTAGTGTTGGCAATTGCTAAAAAAAGTCCAAGAAAAACTTCACATATAATTAGCACTTTGCTTGAAGATTCAGACATTGAGTATTATAATTCTGAAGCTCAAGAAAGTGAAAGTGTTTTGTGTTGATAGCAGTGAGGTAGAAGCTAGTCAACAGGAAAGAATCATAGTTTTAATGCATAACCTGTTGTGGTGGGCTATGCAATCTTCTCCATTGAAGATGGTGAAGGGACTTATTGGAAGCTCATTTAAATTGGTAAGTACCATAATTTATTATTTGAATGTACATTGTCAAATTATATATGGTAAACAGTATTTGTGTGTATCTTTTGCACACAAGATGAGTGGAAGTGTATGTTCCCTCTAGGTATGTTTAAAGGGTGCAGCGAATAATTTGTATATTAGCCATAAAAAACAGAATTGAGTACAATATGATGAAACATCAATTTTGTACTTGCATTTACTTGCTCGTGCTTCAGAATGAGTTTCCACATAAATACGGAGAGCAAAGGCATGGACAGATAATGCTCAGTCTAATCATCCAGTCTAAAATTCTTTCAGTCCTTATGTTTTCCTTATTCTATTTAATGTTTAAAAAGTTTGACTTGATAATATCCAACGTGAGCACCGAAGCTGATCTTTCAGCTAGTTCTTACAATTTGACAAACATCAGTTTGAAGTGATTTCTTTCCTTATCAGAAGCATACATAGTCAACCCACCTAATCTATTGAAGCTGATGCTCATTAGTCCAAGGAGGCATCAATATTTACATTTTTGAATTACATTAAAGCTTTGGAGTTTTTTTTGCACTGGTTGATAGCATCAATATTGCAGTGCATCAAGTGCAAGGACAGGTGGGATCTTCACCCCTTTGCTTGGTTTCTAATCTCCTTCTAATATGTATAATTGTCTAACTACGGTATTTTAATAGCACATGTACATTTGATACTAGATCTAATAAGAGTCTGAATACATTTAATATCGGGAAAGAAAATGATTTTGTGCCCTGTAATTGTGTTCATATGTGAAAATTAATGTAAAGTGTTTATAATAATATTTCTCTGGTGTTCTTATTAATTTTTTGATTGTACTTTAGCTGTTGTTGCCTAGTTATTTTATTTTATTTTATGGTTAATGAATGTGTTATTTTGTCCCTTAGGATGAAATATTAGTACAGAAAATGTTTGATATTGACTCCATTTCCCACATGCTAGTTCTTGGGGGGTTGGCAAACAATTTATTTTGTATTTTAATAATTATAATGTTTCTTATAATCATTGTCAGTTTTCTTTGCTGAAGTGAATTGTATAAATCTGAAACTTAAATTTAAAGTAATTGAAATAGTCATAAATTTACATTGTTTTTGTTTTGTTTTTGCAGATGTGACCACCTACAGAAGATATGTGATTTAATATTTAGTGAAGACCTAGATCAGGATGAAGCAGTCAATTTGGCAACTTGCCTTTGTCACCTCCTGGCAGATGACTTAACACCGGGTACCTCTCTCTTGCCTCAGGATATTTCAGCCGAGTACGTCTTAAACCAAGTTTATCATTAGACAACTTGACACTTCTAAGACAGAACAAAACAGAATTTGCATTTTATTTCTAAATGTTTCAAAAATACTCTCAGGATGGTTCTTGATCATAAACATTGTTGTGGACTTAAACCTATTGGCCATTTCTTTTAAGGACAAAATGTAATTTCATAACTGTTAATGTTAAAAATGTTAATTGGGGGATTTCAAACACATTTGCCATAGCTGACTTTCATGGAGGTGAAGTTATGTAAAGTTTGGGTACAGTATACGGAACGTAAGAGAGAATAACGCGGCTCAAAATGTAAACACTCGATACATTTCTGAAAATAAAGGAAGTGACATTATTTTGGTTCGTCGTGGACCATTGTGAGTGTGCAATGAAAGTGGGGCAGAGAAAGTTTATTTATTTATTTATATCATGCTTCTAGAATTATTGCTTAAGCGCTATTTATATTTTAAATAAATGTATCCAGATTTTTTCTATTATTTTATAAATTGAATTAATATTTTCTGGGAGGGCTTCTCTGGTGGGTGTACCCAATTCAAGCCATGTCAGGCCATTATGAGTCATTGTAAGCTTACCAGAGACCAGTGGCCAAAACCTGCCTCCTCCCTCTATAGAGGCACAAAGAGCAGAGAATGCTAGATCACCCTAACCAAGAAAAGGCCAACAAAAAGGTGGGCGAGTCAAAACAGGCAAGCTGTAAGGTAAACAGTGTAAAAAATGAGACCTCGTTTTTTATACTTAAAGGAGCACCTTGGTCATTCATTTATGAGCGGGGTGCTTTACAACCAAGTGATTCACTCGGTTCTCTGGGTCTCGTTCTCTATGATTTGTTTATCTAGTGGATGATCTTTTCTGCATACCTTTCTAGTGGTCTTTTCTGCCCCTTTGTACCTTTATAGAAGGGGGTCAGGTTTTGACCTCTGGTCCTCGGTGGACTTACAATGACTTGCAAGAACCTGGCATGGATTGAATTCGATGGAACTATCAGATAGTCCCAAGTAGCACCAAGGACTCGCCAATAACCCATCAGAAAGAGGCATGTCATTACATTGTGCTGTTTTTTGGGGGACAACAGATATGCCGGCATAACGGTTGTGTGGTTTTAGCAGTGATTTGAATATTTCGTGAATAGTCTAAAGTTTAAATTAGGCTAAACCTTCATATAATCAAAATACCCTTCTGATTTCATGATTTGCAAACCTCACAGTAAATTGGAGATGTTGTATATAACTTAATTTTTATTTGTGTTCAGAGCTTTAGTGTGTCAACAAGGGAAGAAAAAGCAAGGAATGGTTCAGGAGTGTATGTTGTCGGTTTTCCGGGAATTCTTGAGTCCTTACTGAAGATTCTACCGCCAGTTTAATTGCTGGCTTATTTGTTGTGGTTATGTCTGAATACTAAAATGCATTTGGTCCTAAATGTAAACGTCAGGATATCATCATCTTGTGAATTTTTTCAGAAGCATTCAAGAAAGCTTGGGGCGCCCTTTGTATGTTCTCTTTGACAACCTCATTACCTTACCGGAGGATGATCATCGAAGACAACCTCTGTTGCTGTTGCTGGTTGAGATGCACAAGATCACCCTCCACGTGGGCTACCACTTTTTGTATTTCCTCAAAGCCTCCAACATTAAGACAGAGAAAGTCCAAGAAAATAACGAGTGTTCCTTTCTTACTTACCGTGACCTGAGCAAAGCTGCTGGACAGAAGGATTTTGCGGGGTTTATCATTAAGGACTTGCGGCTGTGTAGTGAAGATGATCCTCGAGTGTTAAGTTGGATAATACCTGATATATATAACAGTTTTTCCAAACAAACTAGAGGGAATGCAGAACTATTGCAGTTGGTGTTAGAACGATTAGACTCGTCACAACTACATGACTTGGTGTGCATGGTACTTCAGGGCTCTTTGCAAATGTTTGACAACAGCTCTTTTGCAGCAATATTGGGTGAGTATTCTGTGTTTCTCAATTTGAATATGTGACAGCAGGGGTATATATTTTAAGCTATAAAATTTACCAGTTTGTTCATGCTCTTGAATAATTCACGCTTTAACCTCCAACTGTATAGCAATGTTTTACATCTGTCTTCAACCTACCTTGCCTTAGCTGTAGTGGCCTTGTGAAGTTGACTGCTTTTGGTAGCTGTGTGCTTCTGGTAGTTAGTTTTAGTAGTGTGTGGGTTGGATGGTTACAGTAGCGTGGCGATGAGTGAAGGGAACGGGGATGCCACACACAATTCTTCATTTCTCACCTCATTTATTTAATGATGAATTAGGATGTCACTAGTGGGTCAAATACACTTATATGAAACATGCTATTTTTTGGTCTGTATATGGGTCACTCATTGGCACAAACATAAAATATTACACAAATTAGATCACTGCAGATTATAAACCTGAGAAGCAAGCATGTGTACTGCAAGGAGAATGCATAAAATAAGGAATTAAATGTCACTAATATGTGACTTGTAAATGTTAAAAAAAAAGTTGTTCGATAGAAGATAGTTTTGGTTTAGTTATGTTTAATGCTTGGGTGAGATGACACGTGTGTGTGCTTTTGACTGTAAGAGGAGAGGAAGGTCCAGAAAAATATAGATATTGGTGATTGTGTGTGTGTGTCGGGAGGAGAGTAGGATTTGGGGATTGATTGCAAGTAGCAAAAGGAATATCTTGGCAAGTAAGGTTGTTTTTGTAAGAGTTGTGTATCCTGGTATGTGACAACTCACAAGGAACACTGGGCACCTAGTCATTTGTGGGGTATTGCTTGAGGGGATTTACTGATGTGTGGATGTGCTGGTGCTCTGTGGTGCTATATGATGTGTAATACTTGGTCAATGGATAGGTATAACATTTAGTGTATCAAGCCTTTACTTTCTATACTGGTTTGTTAACTATGCCAGGCTATTGCCTTCTCATCTGGTGAAGTTGAGAAGCAAGATGATGATGATGACGGTGGGACAAATTCAGTACAGTACTGTACTCTTAAACATTGCACTAAAAGGACCTGAGCAAGATACAGCTCAAGAATAATATGCATTTTATTGCTAACACATCTAGAAATATATTTATCTCTGCAACAAATTCATCTCTGGTGAATCATTGCTAACCTTTTCCATTTTTTGTAGGATATTATTATAAGTTATTAATAAAACCTCTTATATTCACTTAGCAATTGTATACATGTACAGTACATTAATGTTATACAGTACATACATATTATTTATCTTAGTGGAGGGTGCCCCTGTTGCCTAGCAGTAAAATAGGTCCCTGGGTGTTAGTCAGTTGTCCCGGGCTGCTTCCTGGGGGTGGAGGCCTGGTCGAGGACCGGGCCGCGGGGACACTAAAGCCCCGAAATCATCTCAAGATATCCTCAAGAAGAAGTAGAAGAAGGGTTCTAAGCTTAGCACAGCCAAACACATTTGAACTCGATTCAGATCTTTGAAGCCCTATTTTGCACCTTTTGATATTTTGCCTTTTCCAAAAAGGCAAAACACTGTACTTTTTCTGTACACTGTTAGTGGGGAACTTTACATTTCCAGAAACTTACTAAGACTTGTATCAAGTTTTAATTTACTGATTATAAACTAATGGCTGTAATTACATTTTATAGAAAAGAGTTTGCAATGGGAAACTGTGGAACAGCTGTTTCTGTGGCAACTAGCAAAAGCCCACGAGATTCCTGTGGACTGTTGCTTGTCTGTGATGCCCAAGCTCAAGTTTACCTCACATTCTGCCATCGTGACCAACACTCACGGAGAAGCCTTGTCCAACATCCTCATGATGCTGCGGAGAGAATCGTAAGTGCATTGTTAGTTTGGGATTTGTCACTTAGCATTTCCATGTACTGTATGTTCTTATTTGCTCTAGTGTAATTGAAATAACAAAAAATATAATTGATTCTCATGAGAAAATCAGTCTAGAGCCACGAGGAGGATTTGAACGTGTGCACTGGGTACTCCCAAGCGCGCACACCTTAAACCATTGGCCCGCGGTATGCTAAAAAGTAATGTAACCTGAGATAACTCACCTGCCCCTACCCCAACATGACCCTCTCTCAAGTGACGCCTGGCCGGACGCCACGCGCCACACACACCCGGTGAACTCCCCAGAACCCCTTGAGACTACGCACCTGTGCTCACCTGAGCAGGGGGCTTAATGAGCTCACCTGCTCAGATGCTGCACACGGTCATAGTCTCAATTTACGCTACTACGCTTCTGAATTCATTATTATACTGATTATACTTTATTCATTATACTATACTTTATATATTTAACACTTTCGCGCTCTCCGCAAAGGTCACTCAGCCAACCGAATGTGCGCGCTGCGTTTTTATCGCTGAAGCGTAAAAACAAAAATGTGTATACTCTTTTTACTCTTCTGACCTTAGTTCTCATGCTACGTATTTCATTTTGGTACCAACGTGTTCGCAATAAAATTCTCTAGAAGAACATTAGTAAAATAAGTCAAGAAACATATAGGGATACCAGCACCAAATTAATAACTACGTAGATGACTCGCCATGAGCGCCCATCAGCAACAAAATGTTTTTACTCTTGGGATTGTAATCACCTCCACACTTGTTCTACAGCGTTAATTTTGGTATCAATGGACTCGCAATGAAATTCCCAACATGGTGATATGAATATAAGCGTAGAATAATGATGCAGCCCGCCCGCAAGAGTGTGGGAAGTGGTGAAATTGTTACCCGGTATCGGTGACGGGACGACGCACGGCGCTTTGAAAGTTTATACTTATTTCACTCTCATGACATTAATTTTCTATGTACGTCATTCATTTTTATGTCAATGTGTTCGCAATAGAATGTTCTATGTGCCCATAGGTAAAAAATATCAACAAAGCGTAAGTTAGAATAGCGACAAATATAAAACAACGCTGGAACATATCAGTGAGCGTCAAACACACACGAAATATTTTTACTTTTGTTATGTTTGTCAAGATTATACTTGTTGCACACAGTTATTTTTGGTTGTATATTGATCGGAATAAAATTCCCTAAACAGACATATGCATATAATACATGATATGGGGGAAGAATTACCAGTATAAACGGCTAAAGTCACCCACCTGCAACCCGTTTGGGACAAAATACCATTTGATCGAAGTTATCCACACCTTTCATGAACATATTGTACCATGCAGCCTAGTGGTGAGAAAGAGAGCCTCATAGCGCGCAGTTTGAAACAAACCCAAAGTAAATCGGATAAAAATTGAATTTTATACAAATATTTTAAAAGTTGACATAACTTTATGTCCACTATGCGTTTACGTTAGACGAAACCGAACGCGCCGGCGCGTCCAGATAGCGCGAAAGTGTTAATAGTGTCTTAGAACTGTGTATACACCCTGATCTAATTATACATCATTTGTTCTCAGTCACATCTCTGTTCACATCCTGAGATGTGCCTACTGCTCATGGATATATCTCGTGATGTGCTACCATCAAAACGTATCGACTATAATTTTTAAAAACTTTTGGTAGCATATTTTAAGTTGGTAAAGAATATGTAAATAAAATATTTTTATCCTTCCAGGCCATCTGAAATCCTGTTAAGAACGTTGCTGCTTCGGGAGTTCAGAGTAGAGGATCCAACCGTGGCCACCATCCTACAGTATTGGGTCCAGCGGTACGAGGACAAGATGGCCAAGCTCATAAATGATGTAGTCAATAATAAACCTCAGCCATCACCAAACAAACGGAAACGGAACCAAAGTACAAAAGCCAGTGCAGTGCCATTGGACCAAGTGTTGTCACACCTTAATCACTTGAGGACAGCTTGTGGGCAAACAACATTTTTTGCATTAGAAACAATGCAGGACACGCTACAAACAGCCCAAAATCAGTGTAGTGAAATGCAGAAGAAAAAATATGGTGATCTCTTTGCTCTTATCGAGGAAGAGGAGGAGGAGGAGCCAGCACCTGAACCTCAAAGAAAACCCAAGTCTAATAGAGGTAGAAAACCAAAAGGCAAAAAAAAACAGGAAACGGAAAGTGAGGAGGAAAGTAGTGAGGTAAGTGTGTAAATATTTTTGTTAATTAAGAGTATCATGAGAGAGATTACGCATGAATTTCTGCAAGAAGAAAAGGAAATCTCCAGATTGGCTGGAGGAGAACTGCAAGACAAGGCTGTCTTGCAGTTCACCAAAATTTGCTCTTCACATCTTTTAATCGCCTTTTATTCTGTACTCTTTATACTAGCTTAGTACAGCACATGGTTCTCAGATTGTACATTTCTACTGTTCTAATTCATAGTTTTCAAGTTCACGCACATCATCTTGCATCCGTAAACAAGGGTTGGTACTGTTACTCCTTCATGTAGTTTTCATGCTACTTCTATTCTTATTCTCTTTCTTAGCCCCAGTCTGCATTGCTCCTCCCACAAAAAATTCCAAAATGCCCATCAAAATTATTCCAAGACACAACAACAAAAAAATTCCAAAATGCGAAACAAAAACTCCTAACTACAATTATGTACACTCCCCTTCCATTTACCTTATCGATAATACTGTAGGAAAATATGTTAAATATATGTAATAATAATAATGGAATTATGACAATTTGTGTACAGTTGGTTAAGTTTGATACATTATAACCAAGAATAGAATGGCAATAGCCAATAGTAAATGTTATGGCACTTAGTTGGTGTAGATTGAAGTGGTCAGTTTTAACACTTTGTGTTCTGGGCGTATGCACGCCAGACTACTCCAACGTGGCCTAGGCGTTTCCCCTGAGCACGCGGCAAAACTGAAATGTGTATACTCTTTTCAGTTTATTCACCTCAATTCTTGTGCTACGTTTTTCATTTTGATATCAATTTGTTCCCTGCAGGGATATTTGCACATAAGGTCCAAACGCCTGGTGTGCCCCGGCAAAGCCGAAAGTCAGCCAAGCGTTACCCGTGAGCGAGCACCCATTGGCACACCCACTCACAAATGTATTTACTCTTCTTGAGTATCTCGCCTCAATTTTTATTGTATGTCATTCATTTTGGTATCAAAATGTTCGCAATAGAATTTCCTACAGGAGTATAAGCATATAAGGTCTAAAAGCCCGACGTGCCACCTGCACCAAACCCAGAAATCGGCCAAGCATTGCATATTGAGCACACAGGAGCAATAAAATGTGTGTGCTTTTTTCACTTTTGTCACCGAAGTTCTCGTGCTACATCTTTCATTTTGGTATTAGTTTGTTTGCAATAGAATTCCCTTCAGGGGTAGGTCCATATAAGGTCCAAAACCCCAGCAAGCCCCACCTGCAGCAAAGCCAAAAGTCGGCCAAGCGTTACCCATGAGCGAGCACCCATTGGCACACCCGCAACACCTGTTCACAAATGTATTTATTCTTTTCACGTTTCTCACTTCAATTTTCACCTCGGTTTGCAATAGAATGGGAAGACGTTGGCGCACATTTTAAAACCAGTCCCATAAGATCGGACCAAAACTTGAATTTTAACAAATATTTTAATTTTGGATGTCACCTCCGTCTCTAAGAAACAAAGGTGTTAATATTAAACCCCAATTTTCTGAGATAGGCAATTCCAACAGATTTTCTTTTCATAGTTCAGGAGAACCTTAATATATTCATCGTTGTGTATTTATTAATTTTTTGGGGGAAGCCCAAAAAATTCCTTGAAGCTCCCTGAAGCTACTATCTCTGATAGTACTCTCCTAGTTGTGCTTGTAGGGGTTGAGCTTCGGCTCCTTGGTCCTGCCTCTCGACTCAATCAACTGGTGTAGAGGTTCCTGAGCCTATTGGGCTCTTATCATATTTACATTTGAATTTGTGAATGAAGTCTGCCTCCATCACATCACTGCCTAGTGCATTCCATTTGTTAACTACCCTGACACTGAAGAAAATTCTTTGTAATGTGGCTCATTTGAGTACCATGCTTTCACCTGTGTTTCCTTGTTTGTGTTCCACCCATGCTAAATAGTTTGTCTTTGTCCACCCAGTCAAGTTGTACTACCCATAGTGTGTCATACTACTAGACCTCATCAATTGTGGAGTTTTATGGTCTACTGAGGACCAAGAGCCAGAACCTGGGCCCCTCACAGAGGCGCAGAAATCAGTGCCATTCATATATTTAGGTATTTATGCCACCACTGAGGAAGGCACCTAGAAAGTCAGTGAAACAAAACAAACCATTGCTGGCTTCAAACAAAGCCACAGCCACCAGAAATGGCAATAAAACTCCCGCAAAAATGTAAACAAATAATCCTTCAGATAAAGAGATGCCAAACCATTGATGGCTTTTTGAGACACTGTAGTCTGAATATTACTGCACATTACTTTTTAACATTAAAGTTAACCAAAATTGCTTATTTTTTTTTTAAGCACAGTTTTTTCTTAAGCACAGAGAACATTTGCAAGAATTTGGCAAAATGCCTGTCATCTGAAATACTGTACCTTTAAGCTTTTGTAATTATTAACCTAATGAAAGTCTTGTAGATTTAGTACTCCTACTAATGCACTTGAAGGTTGCATCATATTAATATTGTTTTTTTCATATTTTAGGAAGAAGATGTCAAGAAACCTTCCAGAAAGCGGAAAAAGAATAACCAATTGGGGTCTGATAGTGACTAGCCACGGCCATTGTTAGTTTAGCTGAAATCAGTGTGGGACTCTTGAAGGTCCCAACAGAACTAGCTAAGTCACTGTGATAATGGTTCAGTCACAGGCTAAGTCATTCTGGTACTGACTTGAGCCACTATGTACTGCCAAGTCACTGTGGTACTAGCAAAGTTGCTGTGGTACTGCCAAGTCACTGTGTTACTGGCTTAGCTGCTGGTACTGGCTAAGTCACTGGTACTGGCTAAGTCACTGTGATACTGGCTAAGTCACTGGTATTGGCTAAGTCACCGTGGTTTTGGCTAAGTCACTAATACTGGCCAAGTCACTTTGGTTCTGGCCAAGTCACTGTGGTTCTGGCTAAGCTGATGTGGTTCTGGTAGAACCACTTAGGTCCCGGCCAAGTCACTATGAAGCTGGCCTAAGTTACTGTGATGTTGGCCAAGTCACTGTGGGTACTGACCAAGTCAACAGTGCTGACTTCAGTCATTGATACCTGCTGAGTCACTCTTGGTACTGGCGAGGTCACTGGTACTGGCTGAGTCACTGTGGTATGAGCTAAGGTTGCCACGGGGCTGCAGCCTCCGGGAACAAAACCCAGCACTCTTCATCTGTGATGTGATATAGTGGTAGCCTTAATTTTTTTCATATATTTTTTTTAATGCATTAAGTGAGAGGAGATGCATTAATTTCTTTTAAGGGAAAAAACGTGTTTGTCTTCTCGAGTGTTAATTTCCCCCCCTTGACCGAGCTGTGGACTCTGGAAAACTTTCCTCAGGCAAAGTAGACAGATTTTAAGGATATTGTTAAACAATTTCCTCACGTATGTACTCTAGTTTGTGAGACAGTATCGGCATGTGTGTGTGATGAATGTCCGTTGCTTTGTTTGTGAAAGTGAATATGGGGATTACTTGGGGAAAGAAGCACATTAAGGAATCTGCATATCAAGAGTGATACTGAAAAGCCAATTAAAAAAAAAATCAACCAATAGATACATTACCTCCCCAGCCAAAGATGTCTGATACAAACGTGTTGATGACCATCTCGATCTTCAAGGCCTGTGTCTCCCTCGAGGTGCATTCAGCCGCCAGTCACATCAGTGTGTTGAAAACAAATAAGGAGATTGCAAACGTCGATTTTGCCGTGAACATTATCGAAACACATTTCTCTTAAAGAGAAACACAATTAAAAAAAAATTCCTAAAGAAATAACCACCATCACTTAACTGTTATGAAATTGTTAATTGATTGGCCTAAGTTTTAACAAAAAAATTAATTTCTTTATTATAGAAGTGCATTAGATAATGTTCAGCACAAGCTATGATATATTCATTATTTCATTTATTATGTTTATGGTCATAGTGTACAAAATTGTGAGCTCTGAGCATTGTAAGCATTATAAGGTTGATGTCAACTATCTACAAGATTGCTCAAGTTGTCAGGTATGTATGGCATTCATATTGTAATGCTGTAGTACATAGAAAACCAAAACATAATACCATAATTTTGACTTTTAATCAGATTTACCAAATACCAGATACAGAATTTGTTAATCGTTGATGCATATTTGTTTTTTAATGTATATGAGTGCGTATGTAGATCACTAATTTTTCTGAACCATAGAAAGAGAGAGAGAGAGATGGTTGATCACAATAACAGCCAGTGATTAAGGAATATAAGAAGATTGACATAAAAGGTGCATATAATAATAATATATATCAATGGACTTTTTAAACTTTTTTGTTATAATTACTGAATAGGTATTCAGTAAATTGAGAGAAATAATACGGCACACAAAATATTAGCTCGGTACCAACTTAAACAAAAAACTAATATTTATTCATCCATTATCAGTACAGTTCTCCATTTCCCACTCTTTCAAAGGGGTGGGAACGTGAAACGTTCAATCTCACATCTTTCTCCTTAAAAATTGTGCATGTTGTTGTGTTCAACCAGCAATTCTGATGGATGACACCACTGGTCATTTCCATTTTTCATTCCATATGAGACGTATACCATTGTGCCATTGTAGCTCTGCATCTGCGTTATCTGGAAATCGTAAGGAGGAGCAATTTTATGTGCATCATTTCATGCTGTCTTTTTTCCTATTTTATAAGTATTTAGGAAATGATACTTTAAAATACTGTACTACCACCAAGATCAAATTTTTATATCCTATTAGTTTATTCATTGTTGATGTTATTTTCCAGTGAAAGTGATATACTGTATAGCATGATGTTGAAAATTGAATTTTATCCATTGCAATCACAGTTTTAACATTTAGACCACAAATGTTGTCAAAATTATTACAGCAAAATAACCCAAAACATTTTTGATGAATGAAAGTGTAAGAACTAGACTGAAGATTTCAAGACGTGTAGACAATGCCTTACTGCTGTCTGTTTATACAACAAACAATCTATTCTTTGTTAAGATAGCCAAACTTCAACCAGTTTTAGATGTGCTAAAACAGATTTATATAAGATTATTAATAAAACTAAAAAAACTACTCTCTTCTCTGTACCCCCCCTGGATATTGTCTGGTATACAGCAACTGCAAACATAATTCAATTTTTCGTATAGTTATAATTGTGATTGTGTTTCATATTTAATAGAATGTTTTGCATTGTGGGTATATTGTACAATAAACTTCAAAATTCTGTACCTAAAATAATGGATTGACTTTGCTTTTGCTTATACAAAATTTGGATTTAAATCCAGGTTTCTTAACTTTTGTAGTGAAATCTGCATTATCATAATACAGTAATTTACAGCCAATTTTATTTTTTCTGTTAAATGTTCTTGTGCCTTTGTTATTTTATTTTTTAATGTTGTATGAAGAATGTTTTGGCAAACATGTTCTTGTGGAGTTTCAATGGTCCAGTATACTTTGCTTGTGACATTTGTGTGTGTGTGTGTGGTGTAACAACAATACAATCACACTGTCATTTTTTAATGTTCTGTCTAGGTGTTTGCTCAAGGATTTTTGCACATTTTGGTTTTGATATTTAATTATTTATGAGTAGAAGGATGTCTGCAAACAAGTGTAGTAATGTTGGAACAGCAAGGAGCCAGACGACGAGGCCGAACATGGTCAAAGAGCTTAAGGGACCTGAATCACATTCATTCATATGCGTGATATTTATGAACTCTGTTTTTCTGAAGCTTTAATTTACAAAATTTAATTTTATAACATAAACCTACAGGCAAAGTTTTAGCATTGTAATCTGAAAGGAAATGGGGGAGGCAGGAATACAGAAAAAATGGCAACATTAAAATACAAAATCAGGATATACAATCTCTTGAGATGGTAAGAAAATAATCTGTTGACTGAGATTATTTTGTTAAAAAATGGCACCTTTGACAGTTTGTAATTTGATGATTAAAATTTCATCTTTCCAAAATATAGAGTTATTATGTACAAAGAACACTGGTAAAATTTCCGGAAACTGGTTCGTAACATTACATGGTTTTTTCCTCCAACTTCACATGATTATTGTTGGTGCTGTGTTCTGAAATATAGGGAAGTCGTATGTCAAACACTGGTACTGTAACAAAATACGATTCCTTTCCCCCCCACCTTCTGTCAGTTGGACCACTACCACTACCACTCTGTGAAAGTGAATTTCTTGTATTCCTTTGGCAGCTTTGTTTCCTTAGTTTAAAACTATTATTGATAATTTCATGTGTTTACTCTTATTATTAATGGATGTGTGATAACCAGTCTAATAGAAAATATGTCTGATAGCGAGAGAAGTCTGGCTATATCAGGTAGGAGCAGGAAGAGGTATGGATCCCATTGGTGAAATGGTTATACTAATAGACAAAAGTGATAATAGTTTGAGAGGACAGGAGGAATGTGGAAATTGCCACCAAACTAATAGTTTTAATCAATGAAATGATGTATATACACATTCTGCATCATACATTTAAAGTCATACATCTATACCTACACTATCCAAGTCACTTAGGCCATAATCAAGTCTCAATAGATTGCTTGGTCAGTATATAATGATTGCCCCATGATGTCATTCCTCATTGAATTTAATCAAGAAAATTACAATTAATCATTCTTAAATCATTATATTAATCCTCCATATCTCCTTTATCTCAAAATATTCGTCTAAATGTGAAATTCTTTTAATATCTGTATTAAACTATATCGGGCCTCAGGGTGAAATAAAATGATTTTAATTTATTTGCCTTGAGGCCAACAGACCAAACCATGTAAGCCTTTGTGAAGTTAGTTATTCCTCAGTCGATCCGTAGAATTACCCCTTGGTCACCCTAGGCCTCCTAGCATTACTTTAGTAATAAATGAATATGACATTTACCTACTGTAATGTTGCTGATGAATGTAAAACAGTTTTACAAGGAAATATTCCTGCTATAATATTCTCTATTCCTGCTACAATATCCCCTATTCCTGCTACAATATCCCCTATTCCTGCTATAATATCCCCAATTCCTGCTACAATATCCCCAATTCCTGCTACAATATCCCCTATTCCTGCTACAATATCCCCTATTGCTGTTGCAACATCCCGTCGTGTAAAGAGTTGTGAAGAAAGTCAATTTGTAAGGTAAGAGGCTAAAAGATAATTTGCTACAGAAAACAAAAACGCATATATTATGGTTTACGCTAAATCCGCTATTTATAAAATTCCCGAAATTGTCGTATAGACATTATAGAACATGAATGCATTTTGCTGTTGCAAATGACAGCTCATTATATGCATAGCGTAATAACAGGGGCGAGACTTAGCGCCTCTGGTGGCCAGATCTTAACCTATCTTACAAGGGCTCACTTGTTGACAGTCTGTGATATTACGGTCCAGCAAGGTTGAGACGACCGTCTTCAGTCCTACTTCCTCAACTACGGTCACTTGACGCGCTGACGATTGACATGGTTCAAATAGATTAACCGTAAGTAAATAACTGTTACAGCCATTATTGTTTAATCATAATATAGGAAGTAGTATTCCCGTGTGTACTTACATATTACGATATTCGTTATTCTTTATTTTTGTTTACGTGTTTAGGCAAGACATTAGCCTTGAGTGTTGTATCAGGTGGTGGCCTTAATAGCCATGCCCGTGGATTTGACGAGACGGCGGTTTGTCAAAGGTACCCCCGTTTCTGTGATGATCATGAGGAAGTGTAGAGTTGCAATGAGCAACATAGCAAGTCAAGGGGTTCCAATGAGCAACATAGGAACTGTAGGTTTAGTATGATCAACATAGGAAGTGTAGGATTTCTACGATCAATACGGGAAGTGTAGGGTTTCTTTTGGGTACCCTGGAAGGTGTGGGGCTCGTTTGAGGCCCCCTGGGAGGTGTGGGAGCTCGTCTGGGGCCCCCTAGGAGTTGTGGGGTTCGTTTGGAGGCCCCCTGGGACGTGTGGGGCTCGTTTGAGACTCCCGTGGAAGTGTGGGGCTCGATTGAGGCCCCCTGGGAGGTATGAGGGCTCGTTTGGGGCCCCCTGAAAGGTGTAGAGTTCGTTTGGGGCGCCCCTGGGTGGTGTAGGGCTCGTTCGGAGCCCCCTGAGGAGTGAGGGGCCCGTTCTAATCGTCTCCCAGACGCTACAGCTTCGATACAGAACAGGCAGCAGACTAGGACCGCATCGAGCTATACCGCTCTCCTACATAGAGCTCCGCGACTTCGCCCACACTCAGCTCTGCTCTGCTCCAAGCTCCGTCTCAACGTCTACGACACTGCTGTATTCAGGACTACTAAATAAATATGAAACTCACTAATCACTGTGTACCTAATCTACCCAACAACGTAACATAATCGTACGTTACAATGGGTAGCAAAGATGTATGGTAGGGTAAAAACTGGGTGGCGAGGCAAATTTTGGGGTGGTGAAGACTTAGAATATTGTTCAATGTGGGTGACAAAGACTTGCTGTGAAGAGTAGGTAAAGAATAAATTGAGGGATAGGAGAATTATCTTAAGATTAGGCTTGGACTGGCTGGCATATGCATTATATATATGCATATTTTTCGGTATAAAAAGTGGGATTTTCAAACTGCGAATACATGCAGAGAGCCAGAATTGGGCTACAAAATATGGCTCAAGTATCGAATTTGGGATATTTGGGATATTTTGAAAACTGCAGGGGGGCTTTGGGCAAAATGAGACCCACTGCCGCTTTCAGTAATTGGCATATTCTCGATATAAAAAGTCGGAATTTCAAACTGCGAATACGTGCAGAGAGCCAGAATTTGGCAACAAAATATGGCTCACGTATCGGATTTGGGATGTTTGGGATATTTTGAAAACTGCAGGGGGGTTTGGGCAAAATGTGACCCACCGCCGCTTTCAGTAATTGGCATGTTCAAGGTATAAAAATTCGGAATTTCAAACTGCGAATACGTGCAGAGAGCCAGAATTTGGCTACAAAATATGGCTCAAGTATCGGATTTGGGATGTTTGGGATATTTTGAAAACTGCAGGGGGGCGTTTGGGCAAAATGAGACCCACCGCCGCTTTCAGTAATTGGCATATTCTCGATATAAAAATTCGGAATTTCAAACTGCGAATACGTGCAGAGAGCCAGAATTTGGCTACAAAATATGGCTCAGGTATCGGATTTGGGATGTTTGGGATATTTTGAAAACTGCAGGGGGATTTGGGCAAAATGTGACCCATCGCCGCTTTCAGTAATTGGCATATTTTCGGTATAAAAAGTCTGAATTTCAAACTGCAAATACTTGCAGAGAGCCAGAATTTGGGCCTCCAGGGTCATCCTATGGGTCTCCAGAGACCTCCAGGGGCCTCTAGGGACCTCCAGGGGCCACCAGGGACCTCCAAGGGCCTTGAGGGACCTCCAGTGAAATTCAGGTGGCCTCCAGGGGCCTTTAGGGACCTCGAAGAGGCCTTTAGGGGCCTCCAGGGACCTCCAAGGGCCTCCAGGGACCTCAAGGGGCCTCCAGGGACCTTTAGGGAGGCTCCAGGACCTCCGAGAACCTTCAGGGAACCTCCAGGAAACTTTAGGGGTCTCCAGGGGCCTCAAGGGACGTCCAGGGACATTCAGGTGACCTCCAGGGGCCTCCAGGGACCTCCAAAAAGCCTTTAGGTGCCGCTAGTGACCTCTAGAAGGCCTTTAGAGGCCTCCAGGGAACTCCCGGGGACCTCCACGGACATCCAGGGGCCTCCAGGGACCTCCAGGGGCCTCCAAGGGACGACACAACACGACAGACGACGACACAACACGACAAACTACGACACAACACGACAAACGACAACATTTCACTACATACGACGAAGATAGCACAAAATTCACAAGAAATTCGCCTCAAATCACAAGAAATTTTGGAAAAATAAAACGACACAACACGACAAACGACGACACAACACGACAAACGACGACGCAACACGACATTTCACTACATACGACGAAGATAGCACAAAATTCACAAGAATTTTTCACAGCCCATTATGTTCAGTCAATTGGTTGTAGACCCAGGAAAGGGTGCATTTGTTAATTTAGGGGCGACGACGATTGTGGGACTAGGAAGGGGTAGCGCAAGGTGCCTTTAGGGGTGGAGCCTAGACTTCACCTTCAAGGATGTAAGAGCCAAAGATTTTAAGAGTGTCAACTGGGAGTGCAGAGAGGGGATGAGTGATCTAACACAAAGCGACAGCATCGGCAAAGGAGAGCAGTGGAAAGGTAATGTCTTCTTGAGGTTATCTTGAGATGATTTCGGGGCTTTTTAGTGTCCCCGCGGCCCGGTCCTCGACCAGGGGCCGGATTCAGGAAGGTACTTACGAAGGTTTTTCCTCTTAGCTAAGAACGAATTCCTTCTTAGCGCCTTCGTGGCGGCTAGGTCCGTATTCAAAGAGCTACCCTAAGTGGAAAAACCTTCGTAAGTTCATTCCGGGATTTAAGTGTGGTTTCGACCACTCGTAGCTTTACGTAAACTGGATATAAGTCATTTTTTCTCTACTACATAACACTGGGATCGATTTATGATATTGGAACATGACCAAAATATTATAGCTGGTGAATCTAGTGAAGAAGAGTCCTTCGTGTTAGTTATATATGCATTCTCTGCTTGAAACTTGAAGTAAATATGTGATTGATGATAGTAGAATTAGTTTTATAATAGCAAGATATTATACCAGTAGTTATTAAGTAAATAAACACTGGTGAACATGAAATATGAGAGAAGGTGATGAGCCCTGCCTGATGGGATCATTTACTATCACCAAATGCCCCTGTTCACCTAGTAGTAAGGGTGTACCTTAGCTATTCATACCCATTTCTAATTTATTTAGTTTGGTTTTATTTTGAAATTAAATCTGGGTGAGACATAAAATAAAAATATGCTGCACAAATGATGTTAGGTAAGGAGAAGGGTAAAAATGTCACAAACTTTATTCATTGAATACTTAAAGCTATAATTATGACTATATACTGTAGATTATTAAAAAAGAGAGAGGGAAGTAGGGGTTCAAAACCTCTTCCTGTTATACAATTTGGGTGTGGAACAAGTAATTATCAAAAGAAGGCACCATGCCGGGAAGGCTATGTAGCAGTAAGGCAGTGAGGTGAGGCAGCTACTTATTTGAGAAATGCTTATTTTATTTACCTTATAAGCTGAGGCAACTTATTTTATTTGAGGAATACTCAGCTGATTCCTCTACATTTAGCATGGAACAAATTTGTGTCCAAGACCTCTTCCTGTTACTCAATTTGGCTGTGTGTAACCAAACTAGAAGTGCTCTACAAATCAAGATACCCAGAATGTGGAATGACCTCCCGAATCATGTCAAAGGCTGTACCTCTCTCAACCAGTTTAAGAGTTAAACCAAGTACTGCCTAATTACAATACAATACAATACAATTTTATTTAGGTAAGGTACATACATACAATAAATATTTACAAGGATTGTTTAACTTATAGGTATAGCTAGTACATACAATGCCTAAAGCCACTATTACGCAAAGCGTTTCGGGCATGATAAACTTAAATGACAAGCTACTTATTTGCTTATTTACTTATTTACTTATTACTTATTTACTTATTTATAATTAACTCCATGTAACCTAACTTACCTCCTAAATGTCAACCCATGTCTTGCTATTTTTTAAACAACGCTGTTCACCAACATGTGCAATTGCTGAGTTATGCTATGCTAACCCCCCTTTTTGTATTTTTTATTCCTTCTTTCAACACAATTTATACCTAATCCCGATTACTAAGTTTTAGTCTGTGTTTTTTCCCCCACACCTTGCCCGAAATGCTATGAGTATTAGTGGCTTTAGGTATTGTATGTACTAGCTCTGTCTATAAATCCAACATTATGTTTGTAAATCAACTGTATGTACTTTTCCTGAATAAAATGTATTTATTATTTATTTTTTAATCAGTAAGTATTAAAAGAAGGCACCAAGCTGGGAAGGCTATGTAGCACCATTGTGTGTAACAATAAACCAAATTTTTTTTAACAAATAATGCACCTGTATGGTAAAACAAATCCTGTCAGCTGTAAAAATATTGATGCAGTTATTTAAATGAAAAATATAATGAAAGAAATATTACTGGTTTATTTTTATCCTATCTTTTTGTACTGTACAGTATATCCAAGGAAGTGAAAAATTGAGACATAATGCACAATTTAATGAATGATTAGCATGGATTAGCAGTTCAAAAGAAATATGACTTGTATTACATATCAACATGAGATCTTAATGATCCATGGTCAACATGATTTAATAAGGATAATACAGTACTTTATTTGTAATAATACAAACTATAATTTAAAATCTTTATTACTGATTTTTTTTATTAAGAAGATTAGGTATACACAGCAATGTGCTGCTACCCTATTCTATATGGAATATTACACAGTGTAAATAAAAAACTAGCTATAAGTTTATCTAATACTCCCATCTCACAGGATGGTTAGACATACTGTACATGGAATCAATTTAGAAAATACCAGCCTCAATACAAAAAACAAATCAACTCTGACTAAACAACTCTAAGCAATTTTCACAAGAGGTAAGCACTGAATCATGGAAACATTATATTATAATTACTCTTACCAGTTTCTACAAAACTCCTCTCAAACAATGTATTTTTAAACATGTTTAGGTATACACAGCAATGTGCTGCTTTCCTATTCTGTATAAAGGACCACACAGTGTAGATCAAAAACCAGCTACCAGATCACCCAACATCCTCACCTCACAGGATGGCCAGTCATACATGGAATTAGGAGAGAACAAAATACTTAATGCTGATCTATTAGCCTCCACTGGCAAAATCTGGGTGCAGCACAAGAATATCTTCCAATATTCCTGAGTGTATGAAGTAATTACAGAGCTCAAAATACCTCATACCATTTGGTATGAAGTCACTGATAACAGGACAATCACAGATATAGTGTTGGAGAGTATGTTCTCTCAAGTAGGACTGAAAACAGATGTTTTTTTTTCCACCAAGAGGGCTATAAACCCATGGAACCGCCTACCCGCTGAAGCCGTAAATACCAAATTCCAGCTAAAAAATATCATTAAGACAATTGGCGGGCCCTTTAACAAGCCGCCGGCTTTCTGTCCTCTTCGAGGCCACTAGATAGTTAGTGGCCCTTGGGTAAATTCAGTAAATATATACAATAATTGTCAGCGCATCTTCCGAGCAACAAGGACAGCTACACAGTATCTACTTAGAATTACGTAGGTAAACAACAAATGTAACATATTTGTTTACTACAATGTCGGTGCTGGCTGTAGAAGTTGAAAAAACATTGTTTTACTTCGAAATATACTAATTTTATAAGAAAATTCGACGTAAATAGGCGGCAGTAGAGCTCCGATAAGCCAGCGCTAAATCTTCAATATGAAGAATGTTGCTGCTCTCTAATTGGCCAAACGAAACACAGTAGTGACCTCTATCGGCACGCAGGTGAACCAACAATTTTTCTTCCTAAGTATACCTTATTGAATCGCACCTAAGCATCTTCTTAGGGCGCACTTAGGAACCTTCGTAGCAAACCCACTTACGAAGAAATACACAGAGCTTCCTGAATCTAGGTCCAGACCTCCACCCCCAGGAAGCAGCCCGTGACAGCTGACTAACACCCAGGTACCTATTTTACTGCTAGGTAACAGGGGCATAGGGTGAAAGAAACTCTGCCCATTGTTTCTCGCCGGCGCCTGGGATCGAACCCAGGACCACAGGATCATAAGTCCAGCGTGCTGTCCGCTCGGCCGACTGCGAGATTCGCAGCACAACGGGTAGTCCATCATTAGCTATAAGGTGTTTTCCAGATTCCTTTATAAATTGTTAGCAAAGATTTATAGGTTAATAACAAATACATATTGTAGATTATATTTTCAAATTTATCACACTAATTTGTGAAAGGATAAGAATATTACAAATATAAAAATATTACAAATATAAAAAGGATAAGAGAATATTACAAATGACCAAAATAACATAAATTTCAAGATATTTATGATTATAAAACACTATACATAGGTTTGGACATAATGTATATACATGTTTTTATGTATTATCTGTTTTACAGTTTTTCCCAATAAACCTTATGACAGCCTCTGACAATGTTGAAATTATGGCTTGCATTGTTACTGTATTCAAAGTATATTAGCCTTGATTAGGACTGACGAAGAGCACTTAAGACTTTAATTAGTTTCTAAACCAAATTTCAGCATATCATTTTATAAGAATCAAAACTGCAAGTGTCTCTAAATTGTTAAGGAATATTCTTATCTAAGGAAATCTTAACACACAGTGCCAGTCAAAAATACTGGCATCTTTTCTTGTGTTACTATTAAAAATAATCAGACATTGCTAATATAGTATTAAAATGGCGAAAATTACTATAGACTATATGTAGAACACGGGACGAGTTCCTGAATCCATTATTTATGAATCTCGAAAGTTTTTATCCGCTGTTTTGATTTATAATATACTGATTAAAGTAAATCATATACATTAACTAGCACAGCACGAGGATAATGGTCGTTAAGCACTGTGACGTCACCAATGACGCTGTGTTAGGCAAGAAGGTCAGGAGCGGCCGGCGGCTGCCTCAGTGTGGGACTGACAGCCATCAGACGTAGTTCCTTAGGCGGTGTCCCGCTTCTTACATCATTTGCAGCTACACCGGTCATCAGGTAAGGTTACCGTGGACTTTATTACTCAATGTATTAACTCATATAAGGTGCAGGTGTCGATATTTAATTATGGTGTGACCTGGTTGTTGGCGTAGCGTAATGTGGGCTCTGTTATCTGTGATGCCTTCAGAGGGACGGTGATATTTGGGTGGCGTGTGATAGAATTGGTAAAGTTATTTACATGGAACCCTAGTTGACGTATCCTAACAATAGTATTAATAATTAGCTTCGTTTAAGATTTAGATGTACAGCATTAAGTGGCTGGTCCACATTTTTGTTTGAAATCTGCATTAGAACGGGCAAAAAGTCTAAATATCTAGGCGGTACGTAAGGTATTTAAGTACGTGGCTTGTTTAAAATGCAATAATTATTAGAGTAAAGGATACAACTTGCTGCAGAATTTTTGGAATTTGTAGCTCAATTTTAGTCAGCTGTCGTATTACTTAAATTTTTAAATGGCTTGTAAGTACTGAAAGGAGCTAAATGTACAGCTTATTCCTGTGGCGTAGCGTTGATAGTAGTTGGTGGCAGTTTATGGGTATCTTCTGTGGCTTAATGGTCTGAGGGTGTTTTCACAGCCCCCCCCCCCCCTAAAAGGCTCGTAGAACTAGGCTGCTTCGATGAATCTTGACGCTTTTAAAACTTAATGGTATTAAACCCACTTTTTTCTTATTTAACAGGTCGGTGTGGATTTCTGTAATGTAATTCACGGAACCAATTTTATCTGAATTACTTTGGTTACGACCGGATATTTGATAAGTTATGCAAGTTTGAATTTCTTCAGTCTTGATATCTATAGTGTCCATTGCAGCGGGTAAAGAAATTTTCGGGTACAGTAGTTCTAATAGTTTGTTGGGTAGAAATTGAAAAATTATATTTTGGTATTGTATTAAATCTTCCTTGCACCCCTCCCCCACTACTTGGGCAATTTTCCTAGTTAATGTGGTTTCTTCAGTAGTGCGAAGCTTGTATTGTAAAGCTTTCAGTAAAGATAATATATATTCAGTGGGGCCGTAGTTAGTAAACGTAGAAATCTGCGTGTCTGGGATCACTGTTTTCCCAGACAGTCAATTTTGTAAGTAATAGTGTTGGCATGTCGGTAATTTACGGGCTACTAGTGGACATGCCACGTCTTATGTGGGCGTAATGTTATTCAGTCATGGTATCGGTAGTCACTAGAATGCGTGGTAATATTGTTTGGAATGTAACTTAAAAGCTATTAGGACGTATGTATTAAACAAATTAAGAATTTAAATTTATTGAATAAGGTTTAGTACTGAAGTTTGTACCCTGGTGTTGCCCTATATATAAAAGATTACAAAGACACGAGGTATAAAGTGTTATACAGAAATTATAATATTTTGAACAAAAATAACAATTTCATAAAACATTGTAATGGTATAAATAACTTATGTTTTTCTAGGGTCTGGCTTGGCAAAGGGTCTTCATTCTTGAGAAATAACTTAGTGAACGGAGAACTAGTCAAGAGGAACGAATCTTGTTCTGGCGTGAACAGCTGCAAGTCTCGGTGGAGGTGGTTGGACGGTGTTGAACACGGGGCGGCTGGCAACTTTGCAGGAATATCTGAAACAAAAGGCAAGTTGTTAAAACGTTCAGTTAATATTTATAATTAGCAGGAAAGTGTTGAAGATATTCTGTAGAATTATAGAAAGAGCATCTGTGGGACATTAGAAAGTTAGTATTAACTAGTTTACTTCTCCTAGTTATGAGACTTGGGTTTAGGAGGCAGTAAAAATGCCAGTTAAAATATAGAAATGGAATAGGCTACCATAATTAGTAGGGAAATGTCAGTAAATGAGCTTTGAAGCGGCAAGATTCAAAAATTGTGTAAATAATGAATGGTATAAGTGTTAATGACGTTGTAGTTGGGAGGACCTAATAGTAATCGGTGAAAATAGTCTAGGGCATTATGAATAGTTAAGAGGGGGGGGGGGATGAAAACTAGGTGTTGCTTCTGCACCACTAGAAATATTGAACTTTGAGTTTGCAAGAATACTGCAGTTTCTTACTGGTTAGTGTAAATGTTAGGAAGAATGAAGGAATGTACATATTCTTCAGTTGACTATAACGGTAAGTGATAGCATTTTAATGTCAAATGGTATAAATTGGTACTCGATAAAGTATGGTTGACGGGCCATTTTGTTAGTGAAAACGTGTAAAAGTAATATAAAGGGAGGAAACGTGACTACTAACGATAACTTTCAGAACATCGTAGATTTGTGGTAGAATGGTGGTTAGAGAATAGTTTGTAGTGGGAAATAGTTTGGTGTGTAGTTACTCTAGCTTGAGTGTTGGAAGGGCAAGAGCTAAAGTGAATATTGAAATTAATGCAAACATTTTAACTTTACAGACGCAGTATAGAAAATGGATGAAGACGGGTGGCTGTAGCAGTAAGGCGGCCGGTGAAGCATAAGACTTCAAAATTGGGAAGCAAGATGCAAAATAAATAAGTTTTAAGTCTGTGTATTGTGTACTTTGAAATTGTTCTTAGAACTATAGAATCTGTTCCCTCTGTTATGTTTAATATCTGGTGTATGGCGTTATGACTATTGTTCGGCTGGTTTTCTATATTAATGTGGGTCCGATGAATGTTTGTATTTGAATAAATATCCCTTAATTATACACGTTAATGTTTACAGCTGTTTGTGAATTCTTTAACGGCTGGCTATAGTTATTCCTACAATGACATGTTTATTGTTGTAACAGTCTAGGCCTATCGCATGTGACAGTGGCTAGAATTTAAAATTTGTTAATAAAGTGTTCATATTGGATATGAAGTATGAAAATGTCCCAAATGGCTTTAGTCCTTTTGATGTAAAAGTTTGACACAATAACACTTCGTGGTTAATGTTAAAATGGTTGTTCCTAAGGGTTTAAAGTGGTGTTGACTGATCACCTTGTTCCTTGAGAGCATTTTGGTGAAACAGGCTGTACACTGACGCAAATTGGTTTATAGGGAATATTTTTGTCAACTGTAATCCTCGCCTAGGTGGTGGTAAATACTTGGTATTATTAATAGATGCAATCTTGTGGAATATAATAAATATGAGCAACATGAACCTTAGTGTTTTGTTTTAATTTGACGGTACTTATTTATGTTATCAATGTAAAGAAACGTGACTAGTTTTTCTTTTACCTTTTTCTTAGGTCAGTTGTGCATAAGTTTTCTAACCATATTTATTGCCGTTTACTTGGTTTAAAATTCATCGTATTCGTCTGTTTCTTGTCAAATGTTGGTGCTTTTAATGTCGGTGTGGTGTAAGAGTGTGATAATGACGGTAGCATCAGTGAAACGTTATCAAACTACGTATGTGCATCTTGAAAAAGAGTGAAACAAAATTTGGGGAGGGGGGAGTGAGAACGTTGAAGGGGTTGAATACATGGCACATTGTCGAAGTCAGCCTGATAGTCCTTAACGTAAATTAAGGTTTTCACAGTAGCAGTAAGTGAAGAGTAATATGAAGACCTTTCACTCCATGCGACGAAGATGACTCAAAATTTACAAGAATTCTGCGTAGCAGAATTCAAGAGTTGGGGAGAGTAGGGGGATAATGCAGGAGGGGGAGTGGGGGAGTATGGGGAAAAGTCGTCTGTCCTGTTTTATTTTTCCAAAATTTCTTGTGATTTGAGGCGAATTTCTTGTGAATTTTGTGCTATCTTCGTCGTATGTAGTGAAATGTCGTCGTTTGTCGTGTTGTGTCGTCGTCTGTCGTGTTGTGTCGTTTTATTTTTCCAAAATTTCTTGTGATTTGAGGCGAATTTCTTGTGAATTTTGTGCTATCTTCGTCGTATGTAGTGAAATGTCGTGTTGTGTCGTCGTTTGTCGTGTTGTGTCGTCTGTCGTGTTGTGTCGTTTTATTTTTCCAAAATTTCTTGTGATTTGAGGCGAATTTCTTGTGAATTTTGTGCCATCTTCGTCGTATGTAGTGAAATGTCGTCGTTTGTCGTGTTGTGTCGTCGTTTGTCGTGTTGTGTCGTCGTCTGTCGTGTTGTGTCGTTTTATTTTTCCAAAATTTCTTGTGATTTGAGGCGAATTTCTTGTGAATTTTGTACTATCTTCGTCGTATGTAGTGAAATGTCGTCGTTTGTCGTGTTGTGTCGTCGTCTGTCGTGTTGTGTCGTTTTATTTTTCCAAAATTTCTTGTGATTTGAGGCGAATTTCTTGTGAATTTTGTGCTATCTTCGTCGTATGTAGTGAAATGTCGTGTTGTGTCGTCGCCTGTCGTGTTGTGTCGTCGCCTGTCGTGTTGTGTCGTTTTATTTTTCCAAAATTTCTTGTGATTTGAGGCGAATTTCTTGTGAATTTTGTGCCATCTTCGTCGTATGTAGTGAAATGTCGTCGTTTGTCGTGTTGTGTCGTCGTTTGTCGTGTTGTGTCGTCGTCTGTCGTGTTGTGTCGTTTTATTTTTCTATAATTTCTTGTGATTTGAGGCGAATTTCTTGTGAATTTTGTACTATCTTCGTCGTATGTAGTGAAATGTCGTGTTGTCGTCGTTTGTCGTGTTGTGTCGTCGTCTGTCGTGTTGTGTCGTTTTATTTTTTCCAAAATTTCTTGTGATTTGAGGCGAATTTCTTGTGAATTTTGTGCTATCTTCGTCGTATGTAGTGAAATGTCGTCGTTTGTCGTGTTGTGTCGTCGTCTGTCGTGTTGTGTCGTTTTATTTTTCCAAAATTTCTTGTGATTTGAGGCGAATTTCTTGTGAATTTTGTGCTATCTTCGTCGTATGTAGTGAAATGTCGTGTTGTGTCGTCGCCTGTCGTGTTGTGTCGTTTTATTTTTCCAAAATTTCTTGTGATTTGAGGCGAATTTCTTGTGAATTTTGTGCTATCTTCGTCGTATGTAGTGAAATGTCGTGTTGTGTCGTAGTTTGTCGTGTTGTGTCGTCGCCTGTCGTGTTGTGTCGTCGCCTGTCGTGTTGTGTCGTTTTATTTTTCCAAAATTTCTTGTGATTTGAGGCGAATTTCTTGTGAATTTTGTGCCATCTTCGTCGTATGTAGTGAAATGTCGTCGTTTGTCGTGTTGTGTCGTCGTTTGTCGTGTTGTGTCGTCGCCTGTCGTGTTGTGTCGTTTTATTTTTCCAAAATTTCTTGTGATTTGAGGCGAATTTCTTGTGAATTTTGTGCTATCTTCGTCGTATGTAGTGAAATGTCGTCGTTTGTCGTGTTGTGTCGTCGTTTGTCGTGTTGTGTCGTCGTCTGTCGTGTTGTGTCGTTTTATTTTTCCAAAATTTCTTGTGATTTGAGGCGAATTTCTTGTGAATTTTGTGCCATCTTCGTCGTATGTAGTGAAATGTCGTCGTTTGTCGTGTTGTGTCGTCGTTTGTCGTGTTGTGTCGTCGTCTGTCGTGTTGTGTCGTTTTATTTTTCCAAAATTTCTTGTGATTTGAGGCGAATTTCTTGTGAATTTTGTACTATCTTCGTCGTATGTAGTGAAATGTCGTGTTGTCGTCGTTTGTCGTGTTGTGTCGTCGTTTGTCGTGTTGTGTCGTCGTCTGTCGTGTTGTGTCGTTTTATTTTTCCAAAATTTCTTGTGATTTGAGGCGAATTTCTTGTGAATTTTGTACTATCTTCGTCGTATGTAGTGAAATGTCGTGTTGTCGTCGTTTGTCGTGTTGTGTCGTCGTCTGTCGTGTTGTGTCGTTTTATTTTTTCCAAAATTTCTTGTGATTTGAGGCGAATTTCTTGTGAATTTTGTGCTATCTTCGTCGTATGTAGTGAAATGTCGTGTTGTGTCGTCGTTTGTCGTGTTGTGTCGTCGCCTGTCGTGTTGTGTCGTCGCCTGTCGTGTTGTGTCGTCGCCTGTCGTGTTGTGTCGTCGCCTGTCGTGTTGTGTCGTTTTATTTTTCCAAAATTTCTTGTGATTTGAGGCGAATTTCTTGTGAATTTTGTGCTATCTTCGTCGTATGTAGTGAAATGTCGTCGTTTGTCGTGTTGTGTCGTCGTCTGTCGTGTTGTGTCGTTTTATTTTTCCAAAATTTCTTGTGATTTGAGGCGAATTTCTTGTGAATTTTGTGCTATCTTCGTCGTATGTAGTGAAATGTCGTGTTGTGTCGTCGTTTGTCGTGTTGTGTCGTCGCCTGTCGTGTTGTGTCGTCGCCTGTCGTGTTGTGTAGTTTTATTTTTCCAAAATTTCTTGTGATTTGAGGCGAATTTCTTGTGAATTTTGTGCTATCTTCGTCGTATGTAGTGAAATGTCGTCGTTTGTCGTGTTGTGTCGTCGTCTGTCGTGTTGTGTCGTTTTATTTTTCCAAAATTTCTTGTGATTTGAGGCGAATTTCTTGTGAATTTTGTGCTATCTTCGTCGTATGTAGTGAAATGTCGTGTTGTGTCGTCGTTTGTCGTGTTGTGTCGTCGCCTGTCGTGTTGTGTCGTCGCCTGTCGTGTTGTGTCGTCGTCTGTCGTGTTGTGTCGTTTTATTTTTCCAAAATTTCTTGTGATTTGAGGCGAATTTCTTGTGAATTTTGTACTATCTTCGTCGTATGTAGTGAAATGTCGTGTTGTGTCGTCGTTTGTCGTGTTGTGTCGTCGTCTGTCGTGTTGTGTCGTTTTATTTTTCCAAAATTTCTTGTGATTTGAGGCGAATTTCTTGTGAATTTTGTGCTATCTTCGTCGTATGTAGTGAAATGTCGTGTTGTGTCGTCTGTCGTGTTGTGTCGTTTTATTTTTCCAAAATTTCTTGTGATTTGAGGCGAATTTCTTGTGAATTTTGTGCTATCTTCGTCGTATGTAGTGAAATGTCGTCGTTTGTCGTGTTGTGTCGTCGTCTGTCGTGTTGTGTCGTTTTATTTTTCCAAAATTTCTTGTGATTTGAGGCGAATTTCTTGTGAATTTTGTGCTATCTTCGTCGTATGTAGTGAAATGTCGTGTTGTGTCGTCGTTTGTCGTGTTGTTGTCGTGTTGTGTCGTCTGTCGTGTTGTGTCGTTTTATTTTTCCAAAATTTCTTGTGATTTGAGGCGAATTTCTTGTGAATTTTGTGCCATCTTCGTCGTATGTAGTGAAATGTCGTCGTTTGTCGTGTTGTGTCGTCGTTTGTCGTGTTGTGTCGTCGTCTGTCGTGTTGTGTCGTTTTATTTTTCCAAAATTTCTTGTGATTTGAGGCGAATTTCTTGTGAATTTTGTGCTATCTTCGTTGTATGTAGTGAAATGTCGTGTTGTGTCGTCCCTTGAGACCCCTAAAGTTTCCTGGAGGGCCCTGGAGGTTCCCTAAAGGTCCCTGGAGGCCCCTAAAGGCCCCTGGATGCCACCTGAATTTCACTGGAGGTCCCTCAAGGCCCTTAGAGGTCCCTGGTGGTCCCTAGAGACCTAGGATGACCCTGGAGGCCCAAATTCTGGCTCTCTGAACGTATTCGCAGTTTGAAATTCCGACTTTTTATATCTTAAAATATGCCAATTACTAAAAGCTACGGTGGGTCACATTTTCCAACAGAATTGTATATAACTTGTTTGAGAAATACTGGCTGTCGATAATGCATTTGTTTAAACTTCAAGGATACTATCATGACCTCTGTTTGAAATTTACTGGTTAGACTTTCTGCTAGTGTTATTGATCATAACGATGCCCGACCATAGGCCAACCTCTACTACAAACCACGTTCCTTTGTTATCCCTGGTACTGTGCACCTGTTATATCCCCCATGGTGGGCTTTTGCACAGGTGCACAGTACCAGGGATAACAAGGAACGTGGTTTGTAGTCGAGGTTGGCCTATGGTCGGGCATCGTTATGATCAATAACACTAGCAGAAATAGTCTAACTAGTAAATTTCAAACAGAGGTCATGATGGTATCCTAGAAGTTTAAACAAATGCATTATCGACAGCCAGTATTTCTCAAACAAGTTTCATACAATTCTGTTGGGCTTACACAATGTGCACAATAATATATTATATATATATTATATAACATTAAAGATGTGATGGCCTGTGTTGGTGTCCCTATGCAGTACTGAAATGGCTTAGTACAGTTACTGAGAGTAGTGATACACAAAGTACAGTAGTATTTTTGTCTATAGATCACTTTAAACACACACAAACACTGGGATAATAAAAATGTTACAAAATTATTCATATTCATTATAAAATTCTTATCACAAAGACGAGGAGGGGGAATCAGGGAGCCTTAGCTTAGTGCGAGTATCACAACCTGCAGTAAAACTGTAGGTACAGTTTGAATTGATATGTATGAATAAAAGTGCAGCTTACATCAGCCATGTAATTGCCATTTGAGATTATAAACATTTTACGATTGTATTGGCTGGATACTCTTTAGTAGAGTATCTAGATCTATATATATACAAGGTCAATGCGAACCATTAAAGCATGTACAGTATATACAGACCACAAATCTTGCATTCTAAAAAACTTTCAAATGTTAAAATTTGTTAAGCCTCGAGGTATCAAATCTATCATACATCTCCAACTAGGCCAATGATTATCAACTTATACAGTGGGTTTTAATAAACTAAATTTAAATGTCAAATTAACATTCAAGACAGTATTGTATTAATATTTCAGTAGAAAATCAGTTAAATATTTGGCACATTAGCCATATAACTAAATAAACTACATTTAGCTTCTTAGTGAAGGCCAACAAGCTATAAATGTAACTACTGTATTTACAATAAAATGGACAAAACTAACACGCTACAGTATTCATAAATCACAGGTACAGTAGACAAATACATTATTATTATTATTAGAGGGTGTATCACAATGTGTAAAATACATTAATTACAAAGTTTATAATGCAAATGCATTAAGGATTAATCATATGTCAATGTATATTGACACGAGACTAGTTTCCCTAGGTTCACCAAAACTTTTAATTACACATTTACACATCTACGGTCTTAAAATTATGTAATGAATAATACTATTGAAATAATGAGTCTTCTAATTAGTCAGCAGCTCTTCAGAAACCATCAGTAACTTGGCACAAATTTTATAAGTTATTAATTTAATAATTACAGTACCCAGTTCCTTTGTTATCACGACTCTGATTCCCCAAGATTTACTACAGAGCCTCGTGACTCTAATCTTCTAAGTGAATTATCATCACGGTGATTGATCTCTTTTGGGCCTTCGGGTCTCTCTGCATCAGTTTCCAGTCTGCTGCCTGTTTCTTGATATATATTATCAATGGTTTCATTTATAATTCCTTCCGATTCTTGACTTCCTTCACGCGATTCTCTACTTCTTTCGTCATATGATTTATGACTACTTTCAACCTGTGATTCATTATTTCTTTCAATTCCTCTTTCTCGACTTCTTTCAGCATTGATACTGGCCACAACTTTTTCGAATGAATTCGGCTCATCTTTAGTAACTGCCTTTGACTGAAACACCTGTGGCAGACTGTCGATCCCCACACTGCTAAACGATGTAACTTCCGTAGACGACGCAGCTTCTGATATAATGGCAATGGAATCAGTGTTTGTATCTGTGCTAATGGAAGATGATCTAGAGCCTGGGCTGGTGCTTGAGACGCCACCTTCAATGTCCTCATACCTGGAAACAAAATGAATATTAAAAATCTAAAGAGAAAAGTTTTACAGCCTAATCATAAATTTAGAGAAACAGGCATTAGGAAACATTAATTACATTAGGAGCACTAAATATACTACAATGCATATCTGAACAAAGTCTGGATATCTTTTGCATGTATAATATGATTTTCATTGACTAATGTACTTGAATTACATGAATTATCTTTAGTCAGACTGCAAATGATACCTTGGCTTTTTTCCCCAGTCTGAAATTTGTGTTTGGATTTTGCTTAACTGGAGTACTGGAGAATTTTTGGTTAGCACTAAGTTATGGGCATGGATTTTCTGCTACTCTTATATTAAACAAGAGGGAGGGTAGGTGCGCGTGTGTTTAGCCCAGCACCAAGTCTGTCCAACAGTGAAAGAACTCTGGAATCGAGATAACAACCACTAGATCAAAGAACAGCCGAAGACAAGACTTACTTTGGGGGTTTCTCAGAGAGAATGGAATAGTAGTCAGGTGGGAGACCATCAGAAGTGAGAATAGCGTCATAACTTGGCGGTTTGTCCTCGGGGTCCCCGGTGGTCACTCCTTCAGTGGCGGAGTCACGGTTGGCTCTCTGCGGAAAAAAACACTTTGTTAGTAGGGCTAGATGGGATTTGTAATGGAGGCACCAGGGATCGACTTGAGAATGGTCCAGGACGGACCGAAACGTCGTCGTCCCTTCACCTTCTAGTGTGTGGTCTGGTCAACTTACTTTAGCCACGTTATTGTGACTCATCACCTGCACCAGGTACTTGTTAGATAGATAGATAAAACAGATAGTGAGATTATCATATAGGGGAGCCGGTGGCTGAGCTGACAGAACGCTGGACGCGTGATCCTGTGGTCCCAGGTTCGATCCCGGGCGCCGGCGAGAAACAATGGGCAGAGTTTCCTTCACCCTGATGCTCCAGTTACCTAGCAGTAAATAGGTACCTGGGAGTTAGTCACGGGCTGCTTCCTGGGGGTGGAGGCCTGGTCGAGAACCGGGCCGCGGGGACACTAAGCCCCGAAATCAAGATAACCTCAAGATAGTATCTTAAGTAACAGTTAAGATGCGAACCCCGAGATACCTGGCACTAGTGACTCATCCTGGATAGTGACAATTTTCCATTAATTCTGAACCAATTACAATTCTACTTTACTATTAAGTTCCCTTGAATTACCGTTTATAGACTAATTATTAAATGCGCATGATAGCCTTGTATGCGCACTGACTGATTTAGTTTAGTATTATTATTATCATCTTTATTAACAAAATTAATTACAATTTTGCCTAATCTGAGGATTTTGATATTCTTATTAAAGTGAGGATAATGCTGGTATTCACTGTCACGCAGGACAGAGGGTCCCGTGAGCGGTAGTGGTAAAGGAGGTACATAAAGGGCTCAAGAGCTGAACCCCAAAGTTAATTTATCTAACTTGCAGCCTTGTAAACATACGCCAACAGTCTATCAAACTAACGTAACCGATTCAAAGAGGCCCTAATACATTGAGAATTTTAGTTTAGTTCATCATGGACCCCCATTCCCACCTAGTGGATGGGTGCCAGAACTGTTTTAAGGGTCACATAATGGGTCCAAAAACTGAACCCCAACGATCTCTAAGGTAAGCCATTTACACGTGTGGTAAGTTAGTTACATATAACTTTATTTACATACCATACTACCTACACCTGCCCAATGGGTAGCAACGTGATGTTCGCAATCACAGCCATGATGTGCTAACTGAATACTTGGCTAACATTTCTGGTAGTACATCATTTTGAATGGAATGCACGCTTCCTGAACATGTCATAGTATTATTCATAAATTTTTAGAGTCCTCCCCCACCACCATTACAGTGACGTAATGTATGTGAATAACTGTCTACATTTAGTCAGACCCCTTTCAGCAATTATCAAAAGAAGGCACCAAGCCGGGAAGGCTATACTGTATAGCACTATTCCCATTTCTGCAAGTCGAGTATACTCCCGCAGGTACTCATAGCCAAACCTACACAAATTCAAGTATGTTTATTGAGACAAGAAAAAAACACATCTCAAAGGGATAGAGTAGCTTAGGCTATTTCTACCCCCCCCCCCTCCTGTCTGTGGTAACGTCAGCTTACCAAGCATCTATAATTGATAGCATTTATAACTTCTTAATCATCCGGCTTTCTTTCAATTTATTAAACAGTTTATGAGGCCGAAAGAGCTGTACGAGGCTGACACAATATCAACATTAGCGAGAACGACCTCGCTGTGGTTCCGAACTGGTAAATTTGTTTTAATTAATTACAAATTAAGCCATGATAGAGTTAAGTGCACAAGTTTCACTCATCAGGAGAAAGCGCTAAAGCCAGGCTGCTCGTATCCCCACTTGGAGAGGAATATGAGGACAAGCTCTGATATAAGAACACTCAACCACCACTTTGACTATAGGGGGATCGAACACCGACCCTGCAAAAACTGAGGCTGTCGCTCTTCCGACCAGGCCAAGTTGTTGGGTCTCCTAAGTGCACATGTAAATGATTGATAAATCCTCTCCCAGCTGCAACTTCTGCATTTAAATATTTTAAACTTACATTTTAATTCGACATTAAAAATTGGATTTCTTAATGGCTAAACTATTCCATTTGCCAACGCGTTATCACAGCCGACTTCACGTACACGATAACCTATCTAATGGCGTCATATATCACACTTGATAACACAAATGGTGTGTCACTCAGCCGAGAAATTTTTCCTTCCCTCTGTTAATTAATTATACTAACAATTTTCCCCGGGTAATGTTATTTTCCGATTGCTCGTGTCAACGGAGTAGGAAAACTGGCTATTATGCCCATGAACTTTGCTTTCGCTTTTGACAGCTGCTGACATCGATATCTAAGACAGCTGCGATATCTTAAGAGATACCTGACGGCTGTCGACTTATGAAACAATGTGTCACAGCTCTAGATACGGAGTTGGCAGCCTTCAAGTACCGTCAAGCTATCTTGGGCAAAGGTGAAAGAAAAGTTAAGGCGGGGATAATGGGCATTTCCTATTCTTTGGAGGAATAAGCCGTCAAAATCATTTATTATGCAGGAGCAAAAATTGTCACAATATGTATGTAGATGTTAGATCAACCATCAATTAAGCAATTGGTGCATTTTCGATTAAATCAATAATTCCATCGTATTTAAAATCAAATGCAGGTTTCAATTTTATCAGTAAAGAGCCTCACAGTTTCAACAAATTGAAAACTGTTTTCTAACTATAGAAAACGGTATCTCTTCTTACAAGACTCACTCATTCAAATTCAAAGTTTGACCCAAAATGAACCACGTCGACTGACAACACAAAGCAAGAGCTTCGGCCTTCACACGTGCTTGCTTCACCAGCCACTAATAGTCTGATGGTTCGCAAGGTTCATCCTTGAGATGTGACCACACGCATTGTTTACTGAAAATGGTTGTGTATCAGATTTCTTCAGCAGCCTCTTGCACTTTGTGCTCGCGGCTGTAATTGTAGGCTACTCATTAGCTAGCGTGGCGGTTTTGTCCCTTACACACATACATGTAGTGTTCAAATACACAGTAAATAGGCTAATAATGTATGCAAGTCTGCGTCTGACTGTAGGCCAATCTTGCAGCCTCTTGTTTGAACTTCCGTCCGCCACAGAGAGTCAGACAGACAGAGAGAACGAGAGAGAACGTCAAAGAGTGAGACCGAACGAGAACTCCCGCTAGCCCGCCCATGTTGTGTTTCCACGCCTGTTCCGCTCGAGACCACTTCTCTTCCCCCTCTTTCACCAGCATGCACTCTTTTTAAGTTACAAAATAGAAGTCTCGCCGCAATCTACGTCAGCAGCAACAGTTGAGTAAGGAGATCCAACACACAATTATCACTAAACACAGATCTATTGCAGACATAAGAGCACAGCATTTTTTTTTTTTTTATGCGCGTGACGATTTCAAGAGTTTTCACCCTCGTAGCCTGGACTGTGGACAGCTTGCCCTGGTGACGGCCACGTCTGAGGCGGTTCGTCTTCGAACGACGGAACCCACATAGCCATCACAGCCTGGCTAATTCCACATTTGAAAGTTTCCACTGTTGTTCCAGCATCATTTCTCAGAATCTGAAAATTTAAGAGTTGTGGAGTTCTGATGTTTACACTATTTGCTCATGACACCGACTTTTCATTGGATTATTTTGCACTTCCTGCCATATCTCTCACTACAAAATGTAGTTTTTATTCTTCAGGTTTGGGACCTGATCTTCCATATGTATATTATGAGATACATTTCTTGCCTCCATTCCAAGGAGTACGGTTTGAGTGCTTTGAATCAGTCCCTGTATGTGTATGTGTATGTGTGTGTATTCACCTAGTTGTATTCACGTAGGGGGTTTGCGGGGGTTGAGCTTTGCTATTTCGGCCCGCCTCAACTGTCAATCAACTGTGTACTAACTTTTTTTCTCCACGACGCACACCCACCCACACACAAAGGAAGCAGCCCGTGACAGCTGACTAACTCCCAAGTACCTATTTACTGCTAGGTAACAGGGGCATTCAGGATGAAAAACTTTGCCCATTTGTTTCTGCCTGGTGCGGGAATCGAACCCGCGCCACAGAATAACGAGTCCTGCGCGCTATCCACCAGGCCCCTGTAGAGTGAGTGAGTGTCTCCCCTGTATTCAAAGAATACCGAGGAGTTAAGTTATATATAGTGAAATTAAGTGATATAGATATAAGTGACGTAAAGAGAACCAGGATTTAGAGCTGAAGGCGACAAAGGGATAAACGTTCACACAGCCATGAGTGTGCCAAGTGTTCCTCACCCTTGACACTCTACCGACCCCCTCTCACCTTCCCAAGCACACACTCACCACAACCTCTTCTCCCCCCAGGCTCTCCCTCCCCCCCTGCTCACCTCTCCGCCTAAGTGGACTAAATGTATGCTTTTATGCAGCCTTCGCGTGAGCCCCCCACGCCCCACCGCCTCCGCGTCACGCTGTCACCGAAATCAACATCTGGAAAGCTATCGTCGTCGGAAAGCGGAGAGCTCGTTTGTGAAGCCACTCAACCAACACTGGGGACACATTGCTACAGGGAGGGAGGGGCCAGAGTGACCTCACTCTGGCTCCCCTGCTGGAGAAGACTGCAACAGGAGTGAGGGACCAGCGGGGCAGTGCTACGGCAGGAAGGTAGAGAGGAACAGTTTGCTAAATCAGGAAGAAGAGGGAATACATAGGCGGGGAAGGGAAGGCATAGGCATAGGAAGGGGGAATACATAGGCGGCTTAGCAACTATAGTTTGATCCTGCAAGCACAGAGTTGACACCTGAACAAATCCACAAGGGCCGTGACGAGGATTCGAACCTACGTCCGAGATCTTCCCAGACTCTGCCTTAATCGACTGAGCTACGACATGGTCAAAAAGAGTTGAAACCAGAAGTTTTTCTGGACTTGCTTGGATCCTGCAGCCTCTCTGAGACAAACCAGGGTTTTACACAACTCCCCCATGCACTCGAGCCATGTCAATAGGCGACACCTGCACGCGCGCACACACACGAACGTACATGTATATTAAATACTTCCCTCCCTGTTTCAGCAAT